ACCCCTCTGCCTCATCACTGCAATGCAGTGAGGTGAAGCTGGTGTACAATGTCACACAGGATATATCAAGGACAGAGGTTGAAAGGGTGAGCAAGAGAGTTTCCAGCACCGTCTCAAACATGCACGATTCCTTTCTTGAACGAAATTAAAGATGTCGTCGCTGGAGTGCACTCAGACAGATTCCGTAATTTAAAGTGAGAGCAAAACTTACATTCAAGTGAAGTTGTTGCTAAGACAAGAGGTGATCTGAAAGCATCAGAGACTAAAAAAGCATTTATTTAATGAAGAATTTAAAAAGTGAATTTCTGTGCAGAGTTATGAGCTTTACTTTGAAATTTTAATTTCAAGCAAAGCTTCCTGTGCTCTGAACGACTACAATTTGTTCCCAAAACACAAAAAAAAGCTGAAGTTTGACAGACATGCAATTCAGAATTTGCAAATTGTTTTAAGGAGAAAAATGGTAAACAAAAGAGATGAGAAATATCTACTCTGTATTCTTGTCTCGTTTTTTGAAATTGACTGGAATATTTGGGCAAAGTCAAGGAAAAGACAATTTGAAATTCTTGGGAAGTCCTTTATCTCTTTTTATTTATTCATTCATGGAATGAGGGTGTCACTGACCAGGTAGCATTTATTGCCCATCTCTAATTGCCAGAGGGCAGTTCAGAGTCAGCCACATTGCTGTGGGTCTGGAGTCACATGTATGCCAGACCAGACTTATTTTAAATTAGAATATTTTAACGGAAGTTGCCTAGATGGTATTAAGATTTTTTTTTGAAGAAAAGGAATGATTGTTTGTGAAGAAATAAATTCACCACAAAACCTATTCTTCAACAGCTGAGGCTGAACATAAATTTGAATTTTTCAGTTTTTGGAATCATTTTAAAAGAAGAAAGTCGAGGAAGTTATTTTTGAGATTTATTTTGAACACAAAGAACAACAATAAATAGAATTTAGTAATGCCTCGAACCACGCAGCAATGTTTCATCAGTTTTAAAGATGTTATGAAAATATTTTCTTTTAAACAGGACAGTAATGTTTTTCCAGAGCTCCTGAATCAGGTAAAATCAGTCAATCAAGGGGATGCACACTTAGAATTAAACTTTAATGACAGGTGTTGTTAAATGAAATATATCACATGAAAAGAAAGTAGAGGTGATTAATTAATTGATGTTGAAATTAACTGATAGCTTTCCTTGGAAATATGTGTGCCCTTGACCATGACTTTTTGTAAAAGAGAACTTAAGTGGATGATATAGTCACTAAAACACTGGGACCAAACAGGGAGGAGATGCAAGCACTCCTGCACCACTTTCGATCTTCGACTATCACCTTAAAGTCAAGCATGTGTGGCATGATGTTGGGATGACTGTGTAAAGGTGCTGAACTGATTTTTACATCTGAAGTAACTAACATGAGGGGATCATGGTGAAAATGCCCTGCAGACCAGGTTTCAGAATTTTCAGTTATTTGACAAAATGCTTATTGTGGCCTGAAGAACAAGAAAACATCTCAAATTGCCAATATACTGACTTATAATCCAATGGGAAACTGAAATAGTGGTATTGGTAAGTGAGTAAAGTTTAAAATGAAAAGAATATTAACTGAGACATTTGAAAGTTACAGGGGAGAAATACATAATGAGAACTACCTACAAGATGAATACAGACAAAGGGAGAGCTAGACAATCTTCTGTGTTTATGCATGATATGTTGGTGTAATGTACCTATCATAGCCAGTCAAAGGTCCCAGGGATCATCGAAGGTATCCTATGTGGAACCAGGGAGAAGAAGGAAAAGTCAAACAACTTGATGTATGGAAACAAGAAAGCAAATAACAGGGGCTATAAAACCAGAACAAACAGGTACCCAGAAATGGAGAAAGGGCCAGTAAATAGCCTAATCATCACCTATATGCAAAAACAATTATACAACGATGTGAGCTATGAAACACTACTGCACTTTTGCTTAGAAGGGGGAGAAGCTTACTTGTGCCATTGTGACCTAAGAAATCCAAGTAAGCCAGTCTGTGACTTCATTCTGGATCCAGTATCATCTATTATGAGGAGAACAATGCATGGTATTTTCAGTCAGCATAGAGACTGACAGCATAATGTCTGGAGAACGCAATGTGGGGAAGAAATTTGGTCCATTTGGAGTCCTACCTTTTGCTTCCAACCCACCGATACAACTAATGAGAGGAAATCCTTTCTTGAACCCTGTATCAATGTTTACATCACAGATAGTAATATGATAGCTGCATTGATGTGGCAGTGCCGAGATATACCTTTCCTATACAGTGATAGTGAGATTACCAAAGTTGTCACGATTCTTTCATCTAAGTCTCTTGCATATGCACCACTTGAGATACCGTTGGTTGTCTGCGTGCTGTGGGAGCTTCATACTTAAATTGACATATACTATACTGGGCAGTGGAAGCAGTCACCAATGCCCCCTCAGACTCTATATAACAAAAAAATCCTTCTTTTCTCAAATAAAAAATAGAAATTACTGGAAAATTTCAGGTTTGGCTGCATTTGTGCAGAGAGAAACAGAGTTAATGTTTCGTGTCTGGTATGATTCTTCTCATTTGATTCAGGCTTGAATATTAGCTAAGTTCACACACTTGCCATTCAATGAGCTGTTAGGCCAGGTCACGCTCTGTGTCACTCAGTCTGCTCCATCTTTTAAACAAGGCTGGGAAGTGAGAACATCTAGTTTTAGAACAATGGCCCTTTGCTGATAGCTGTGTTTGGACTGAGGAGAAACTCGGACCTCTGATTTGATGAGGTGTCAGGAAACTCTCATCCCAGATCGGGATTTAGACGTTGCCTAATCTGCAGTTAATCCATTGCATTCTCACTAAGGTCATAGCAGGATTGTGCGAAAAGGTCTGAATTTTCTATTCAATTGATAATTATTTTCTGTAAATTTAAGTTAATGGTGTTTAGGATCATACCAAACCAACAGTAAATATCTGGAACAGAAACAGAAATTGCTGGAGAAAAAAAAAAAGAAAATCGCAAGATCTGGCCATGTCTGTGCAGGGAAAGCAGAATGATCCTTTTTCAGAATTGATAGCATCTGGAGAAAAGTACTCCATCTTCTTCCTCAACCAAGGATTTCCCACCACTGTGGTTGACGGTGCCCTTAGCCAGGTCAGACCCATCACCTGCACTTCTGCCAACTCCCTTCTCTTCCCTCCCACATCCACACTAGGGTCCCCCAATCTCTACTTTCCATCTCACTGGCCTCTGCATCCAAAGCATCATAAGCAGACATTTCTACCAGCTACAGCAGGTTGGCACTACCAGACACACATTCCCCTCCCATCCCCTCCCTTGTCAGCATTCCCCAGGGACAGTTCCCTCTGGGACACCCTCTCATGGAATCACAGAACTTGCAATGCTTGTCTGTTTACCTACAATTTCCTCACTATTCTAGGCCCTGGACACCCCTTCCAGGTGAAGCAGCAATTTACCTGCACTTCACTCAAATCTAGTCGACTGTATTCAGTGCTCACAATGCAGTCTCCTCTACATCGGGGAGATGAAATGCAAGCAAGGTGACCGCTTTGTAGACCATCTATGTTCTGTCCGTAAAAAATGACCATAAGCTTCCTGTTACCTCCCACTTCAACACATCATTGTGTTTTCATGCTAACGTTCTGTTTCAGCTGCTGCCGTTCTCCAGCAAGGCTCGGCACAAGCTGGACGAACAGCATCTCATTTTCCATGTGTGACTTCGCAGCCTTCTGGACTCGATATTGAGTTCAATAATTTTAGAACCTAAACACCTCCATCCTTATCTTTCAGCACAGCCAACTTATTTTTACACACACACAGTCTCCATTACCAGCTATCTAGCTTTTCTTCTTCCCTGGCTGACTATCAACAATCTATTTGTACCTCTCTCTGGGATCTTTCTCCATCTTCCTGATTACCTTAAATTTATCCACGTGTCTTGTTGTACCATCTTTAATAATAGCCTTAAGCATTTTCCCTATGATAAATGTTATGTTAATTGGCCTGTAATTTCAAGTTTCCTGCTTCCCTTTTTTGACGAATGGAGTTAGACTACTTATTTTTCAATCTAAAGAAACCTTCCCTGAATCGAATGAGTTTTGGGAAATTAAAACCAATGCATCAATTGTTTCATTGGCTACTTCTTTTTGCTTTGTTAACTCTTTTTAAATATCTGAAGAAACTTTTTCTATCTGTTTATATATTTTGGGTAAATTCCTTTAATGATCTATTTTCCCCCTCCTTATTGATGTTTTCAGATTTCAATTGTCCTGCACTAAACAGGAAAAAAAATCCGAATAAAACTGCGGATGCTGGAAATCTGAAACAAAAAGAGAAAGTGCTCGAAAAGCTCAGCAGGTCTGGTAGCATCTGTGGAGCGAAATCAGAGTTAACGTTTGGGGTTCGGTGACCTTTCCTCAGAACTGTTCAAAACAGCAACTTCTGTTTTTGTTATATTGTCCTGCATTGTGTTCCGACTTGAGAGCATATTGAACCGTCCCAAAAACAGGACACGTTCACAACTCAAAGCTGCCACTATTCTGTGCTTTCTGGAATAAGCCCTCAAATGTTTGGTCCTGCATTTCTATAGACCCATCCCTTAACCTAAATTAGCATTCCATTTCACACCGTATGATTTTTTTCTGCAACATATTTCCCCTTTCTTCGTGAAACTTACACATGCATCCATTGGTACATCATCATATCAGGCATGAATGAACCTTGTTCTTCATTATCACTGGAAAAGGTTTAAAAATACACAAGTTGTTAATCGTTTTCTCAAAATAAAACAGGGCTTTCCAGAGCTTCTTTATTTAAAAAAAAACTACTCCGAGGTGTAAGTTATTTTTTTTCTCCCTTTCCTCTATTATTCATTCTCAGGATTTAGGAGTACAAAATTATTTAGTGATGAGGTGCGTCGTATTGTTCCAGGACGGTCTGTTGTGCTGGGGTCCGGCAGTCGGAGGGAGAGTTTGTGATCACACCGGAAGGGACCTGTTTGTCCGTGGCACTGCCGACTGTTTGGCGGGGTGGCTGCGTGCGCATCGCTCTGGTTTTCGGGCCACCGCCGCCGCAATGGCGTCGCCACTGAGCCAGGCGTCTAAGATGGATATTGAGAATGCTACACAGCACCTGCGGGATATGCTAAAGCTGGACCGGGTCTCCGGTAAGTATAGAGCCCGGGCCGCTTTGTTTAAAGGCTGCGTGAAGCCCTGGAGGCGGCTGGCATACCGGGGCTGGGAGGCGGCTACCCGGGAGTCCTGGAGGTTGGGTGGAGCGAATCGCTTTAAACCGGAGTCCAGGCCTCGGTTACCGGGACCTCCACCGTAGGTTGGCTGTCTCCTGAGGGCACTGCTTTTCCCTACGCGGGGATTAGTTACTCAGATGGTTCTCTCAGAGTCGGGGAACTGCTACCGGCCCGTTGTCCGTGTCGTAGGGTTGGCTGCTCGAATGTAGTAGTTCCAGAGGGTGGTGTCTTTGCTGATGCCAGGTATGACTTGCGGATGCTGGAAATATGAAACAATAAACGAAATTGCTGGAGAAATTCAGCAGGTCTGGTAGTGTCTGTGCAGAGAAAGCAGAGTTAACGTTTCGGGTGTAGTGACCCTCCTTTGGAACCAATTTGTTTTTGTTGTTGAATATGTTTCACTGGTCAGACAGTCGACTTTCAATTTCGTTACTTTGAATAACACTGTTTATCGCAGTCTAACGTGCAGGCAGAAATTTCTGACTTGATTGTTTTGACAGCTTGTAGTTAAGTTCAGATGTGGATGCACTGACAGTCAACGTTTGTTGGCTTTATTCTTAAAGGAGCCAAGAAACTAGTTGTGTTGATAATTTGGCCTGCTTGATCATAACCTGTATCAAGACTTTTTAATTTGAATTGATGCTGTAAATTATCTTCTGAATCCCCTTCCTGTTCAATTATAATGGTAGAAAGTATTGCTTAGTTCAGATCAACACAATGTGTTATTAAACTAATACAGAATTATGTTGACAGACCCTCTTGAGTTTTTTCTTCTGATATTCTCATGCTTCATCAAGTTTAATTTTGACTTGGTTGAAAGTGTTTATAAACGGTGATGGTTTGCTTAATATTTGCAAGCTTGCAATCTTTTTCATTTTATATAGTGTGTTATGTACATGAAAATGAACCTGTCATTCTAAGTCAGTTTACGTTATATGTTATGAAATTAATGTCTTTTCTGGAAAGAAACTTTTTAAAACTTGTGCGGTAAAAAGAACTTCAATGTTTCATGACTACTGAGCATACTAACCCTATAGGTATACATTTTGTTGTGGTACATATCATGGCTTTCAAGGTTCAAGGATAAAAACCTTCAGTTCATAATTTGTTTCAAAAGGCTGAGGGGTGACCTTAGAGGTTTATAATATCATGAGGGGGATGGAAGGGGTGAATAGTCAAGGTCTTTTCCCCAGGTGGGGAGTCCAAAACTAGAGGGCATAGGTTAAAGGTGAGAGGGGAAAGATTTGAAAGGGACCTGAGGGTCAACCTTTTCATGCAGAGGGTGGTGCATATATGGAATGAGCTGCCAGAGGAAGTGGTGGAGGCTGGTACGATTACAAAATTTAAAAGGTACCTGGATGTGTATATGAATAGGAAGGGTTTAGAGGGATATGGGCCAAATGCTGGCAAATGGGACTAGATTTATTTAGGATATCTGATTGGCATGGATGAGTTGGACTGAAGGGTCTGTTTCCATGCTGTACAGCTCTATGATGCTATAATAATGGATCTTGCATGCCAGCCAGTCTGGTATTGACAGGAATGTCAAATACGTGAACATCTCTAACCCTGGAGTGTTGTCAAATTCTATGTTTTGAGATTTGACAAGCTGCAGATTTAGTGCAGCACCATTCTAACACTTCTGCATAAGTGTTTGTGCTTATAGATTAACCACATGCATAAGTCCAGTTACAAATACATTGAAGGTAAAACCAGGGCTTGCATTTCTAACCTAACTGTCCCTTTCCTGATTAGAGTAGAATATGATAGGCTGTTGGGTCTGTTGTACCGTGTTTCATTCTGCATCAGTACACACATACTGGTGGGTGAAAATATTGTTAGTTTAAAATGTTGCTTGTCTCTAATGTAACTGGATGATCTTGTTGTTATCACATTACTGTTAGTATAATTTTGCTGAGCGTACACTGGCTACTGTGTTTCTTGTATTACAGCAGTGACCACACTTTTTTTACTCTGACTGTATCTCGGTAAAATTATTCATTTTGGTGTCTTTGGCTGCAAAATTGCTGCCAGCATTTGTGACTTCAGTCCCTCCTGAGTGTAAATGACTGCTCTGAGCCTCTGCCTTCATGCGATAAGTCACCATCTTTTCCAGAACAACAGACCAAACTAACGAGTGCTCTCTTTTGGGTAATATTCCACAATCAAGGGATGAATTTTCCAAAGTTTCAGTGAAGGAATCTAGCCACTTTGAGATGCTAAAAGGCTCGAAGAGTTATTTTCCAATAAACGAGGGCTAAATATTTGTTTAACAGGTGGACTTTCTGAAAACATTAATCTCTGTAATGTGGATGATTGTGGGTATCTGAATGAAACGAGTTACCTCATCATAATACAGTAAGACTAATTCATGATGGGATGGTTCCACTGCTAATGTCATAAAGCTTGCCACAGGATAAAACACTGATGAAACAGTTTTTCCAACAGTTAGGAAAGCCACCATGGTGTAATATTTGGTAGTGTTTTTATGCTGATTGATCTAAACTGCAGTAAACTTTTTTTTGGCACAGTTGACCAACTTCAAGCTATCAGAAATAACCCTTTAATCTCAACACAAATTAGCCTTGAAAAGAGACATCACAAGCCCCTCATCTTACAACTCAACTATTTTCTTAGAAATCCAAGGTAGAATAATCTTACCTGGTTACTTTATTTGGGGACTTAAAAGGGACAGGCTTGCTTGCTTGGGACACTATGACTATACATAAGAAATTAGTTGATAACTTGGTATAAACAGTTTAAATGTTGTCAGCTGTTGAGGTAAACGAAGGGGTATGAATGAATCTCTTAGAAATTGTGAATTGTGTGCTCAGTTCTTTAATAAACTTCTTTATTATTAAGGATTTATGTTGTGTCTCAAGTCTTCTATATTGCTAACTTTTGAATCCCAGTGTCTCTTTGCTGGAGAGTTGCATTATTGAAGAGAAATTCCTGGATCCTTGCAATATATTGGATATTATAAATTGCCTGAAACTTAGTTGGAGAATGGTAATAATCTAAGTTTGTTTCATTCCATAGGGAAGAATTAAGCCAGATCTTCAGACCCATTCCATGTCTTATTCCATTTGGCTTTCTTAATCTTAAGTTGAGTGAGATGATTAGGGAAAAATCCTGGATCCAGATGGTCTCATTAAGGAGCTAGAATTTATAACCTCCCAGATCTCTTTACTTGGCCAAACAATCAATCTCACTGGGGCAGCATTACCTTCCAGAATGTTGCAAATGTGGTCTGTCCTATCCAATATGTTAGGCCACTCAAATCCTGAGTCGGATGGAAATTTGGCTTGCAGGTGACAATACCTTCCGTATAAAAGCTCTTCCATATAACTGCATGCTGTACTCAGCATTTGTATTGTTCAACTCTGTTGTTCTAACACTTTGTCCTTGTATGAAAATATCATCCTCTTTCAGATTTCTTCTCTTTAATGTCTACCAACCCAGCAAACGTCCTGATTTCTTGGCTAAGGTCTGCTCTTAGCCACAGCAAACTCAGTTTACATCTTGGTGATTTCACCTCACCTCACCTCACCTAGCTTGCCAGGTCTTTTCTCCTGTCTTGTATTTGATCACTTAATAGGAATAAAATAAAGCTCAAATAGTCTATGCAGCCTGCAAAGTCTGTCCTATCATTCAGTGCGATCATGGCTAAATTATGTCTGAACTGCATTAACCCCCGTTGTGACATATTAAGAAGGTTGATACCATCCGGGACAAAGCAATCTGCATGATCAGTTCCCCATCCTCCCCCTTCAGCATTCACTGTCTTCACAACCAACTCACAATGGCAGCAGAGTGTACCATCTGCTCAAGATGCACCGCAGTAACTCATCAAGGCTCCTTTGACAATATCTTCCAGACCCATCATCTTAGAAGGACAACGTCAGTAGATACCTAGGAAAACTGCAATGCAGTTCCTATCCAAGCCAAGCACCATGCTAACTTGGAAGTATATTGTTATTCCTTCACTGTTGATGGGTCGAAACCATGGAACTCCCTTATTAACAACAAAGGATGTCATTGCACCCCCAGGACTTCAGATCCAAACAGCTCACCACTTGGGCAATTAGGGACAGGCAGTAAATGCTGGCTTAATCAACGACACCCACTCCTCATGAATAAAAGAAAAATTACTTATTTCCCATGGTGAAGGAGATGCTATTGATCTCAGATTTATAAATGAGCTGCCATCCTTTTTTGTCAAGTTTTCTACGTTTCTACCAGCCTTTGCCTGAAGGGTTTTCTAATCTCCTTTTGAATGGCCTGTGTCTGATTTTTAAAGTTATATCCCATTGTTCAAGACACTCATTGTGGAAAATGTTTCTCTACCTTTTAGTTCTAAAAATTCCTAAAGAAAGCTTTATCAAATCACCCACGAATCTTGTATATCTCTGGGCAAACAAGCCTAGCTTATGTAATCTTGCCTCATAGTCTAGCCGTTGGATCTCTGGTGTTTTTATGGGGAATGTTATCTTTCTATTGTGTCAAATTTAATTATCGTTGAGGTCATTTCTGGTCACTACTTTGTTTTTCCTCTCCTTTCAGTGCTTGGAAATACTTGCTCCCCAGCTCCCTCATTGATATATTTTGATCTTCTAAACAGCATTCCTAGCTCTTGTACCTTCAACTCGCAAGAACTTCATTTGGATAGCTGTTCCTTTGGCTTTGACTCCCCTATCTGTAACTTCAAATTAAAAGGCTGCTGACTTTAATATATTTTGCTCATATGTGGATTTTACCACAAGATAGCAGAACTGTTCAGACTATCTGAAGAAATCAATCCAGTTTGAGAATGGTAACAACAAAAACTTGAAAGCAGGGATGAGAAGTAGTGTAAGAAATGTGACGTGCTCAAATAAGAAGCATACCAGGTACAGACAGATGGATTTGATGTATGTGGCCAAGTGGAGTAGCTTTTCTGCCTCCTTGGAAGCCTCCTGTACCGGTTCTGTTTATATTGTTTTGCCAATTCTTCTCCATATTCCGTCTAGTTGTCATTACCTGCTGCCTCAATTCCCTTCTGACTGATGTCTCAAATAGTATTATTCCCATACAGCTGTTGATACATCTTCCTTTCCTCATGTTAGCTGTTATTGTCAGTAGTTCATTTTTCTCAGTTATTGTATATCTCCCTAAAACTGGCAACTTGTTCTCACAGAAACATGCTTTTTACGCTTTGCAAGTTGGTTCTTTCATCTGTAATTGCTTTTTCATCTCTGAAACCTTATTCGCGTTTCCAATGTCTAATGAATGTTTCTTTCTACCTTTCTAACCCTGATATTGGATGAGGGCAGCTGTAATAAATGCTATCTCATGACTGAATTATCCTCCTAATCTTTGATCTGTAGCACTGTCCTGCGGTTTTCATGCCAAGTGAAATTATCCTTATTTGGATTGACTCTTACCTGCTTTGTAATTCAGAGATTACTTATTTGCAGCAATGACATCTCTCTCTGCCCCTTGTTGTACCTCTGGAGTTTTGTTGAATTACTTTGCTTTTTATTCTTTGCAATTTACATCCTTTCCCCTAATAACATTATCCCCTTCCATGTGTATACTCTTCCCCCACCCAACTTAACACACTGAAATTGTTTGTGTTATTGGATTGCTTGCTCACCATCTGATTAGCCTTAAGTGAGCCACAGTCTTGTTCAGCTGAACAGAGTCAGGTTGTTGCAATTGTCTTCAGTCCTCCTGCAAATTCTATACCTTAGCTACCTATTTCATTGTAGAAATAACTGATCTTCCTCTTCTTAAAATGTCAATTTTTATTTGACAAAGTGTAGTGATGTTGCCATGGCTATGCTTTTATAATTTGTAATAAGTGAATTTTCAAAACTATTAATACATTCATATTTAGTTCCATGCTGTAACTGTAGCCATCTTAATTCAAGGCAGGTTTGCCATTTGTAAGAAATCGCAGCTTTCCTTACTTTGTGGCACAGATTTTTTTACACATTTAATGTAATTCCTTCTGTTTATAGAGTCAACAGTTGACAACCAAAAGAAACCTGCATCATACAATGGCGAATTGAATGGTTTGCTGGTTCCAGATCCCATTGCAGCTGGAGATGGGCCTATTCTCAGAGAATCAAACAGTACGAATTTGGACAAGCTGAACCTACAGCAAAATCAGGAAATGTACGAGTTGTGCTACTTTTAAAAAAAAATTATTGTTAAATGTATGATTTTCTGTTTGGAAGAAGTATCTTTTTAAATTAACATGCTTTAGTGTCATAGTCATAGAGTCGCACAGCCTGGAAACAGACCCTTTGGTCCAATCAGATTATGCCGAGCATAATATCAAACTAAACTATTCCCACCTGCTTGCTCTTGGCCCATATCCCTCCAAAACTTTCTTATTTATGTACTCATCCAAATGTCTTCCTCAGGAAGTTCATTCCACACGTGAACCGCCTTCTGTGCAAAAAATTTGCCTCTTGCATCTTTTTTAAATCTTTCTCCTCTTTTCTTAAAAATGTGTGCCCTAGTCTTGAAATCCTCCATCCTAAGGAGAATACAACTACCACTAACTCTACCTATACCCCTCATTATTTTTTAAACTTCTCTAAGCTCGCCTCTCAACCTCCTATGCTCCAGTGAAAAAAGTCCCAGCCCGTCCAGCCTTTCTTTTTTTCCAACTGCATCTCCTGTTCTTGCTCCAAAAAATGAGAGAGAAAACCCTGCTAGTGGGATGCACTAAAGACCTTTGTTTCACCTTTACTGGTGACTTCTCAGGTACACGAGTGCGTTATGTGTGGGTTTGATTCCAGTACTTTGCCACTTCCTATTCAGGAAAGATATTGCCCTTTCTGTGATCTATTAATCATGTGAGATAGCCAATCTTAAATCCAAATTAAAATTCTGCCAATCTGTGGAGAATTTTCTTAATGTGTAATTCAATGCACTGTGCCAGTGAGCAACATGCTAGTTTTTAAACGATACTGGCCTGCACTGATATTTTGATTGTCTTTCTCCAGATACCTAACAGGTGATGACAGTTCAAATTGTGTTATAACTGCCAAAGAAGTGGAAATAGTGGCAAGCAACGATTCTAGCATCAGTAATAAGGCCAGGGGTAGCAACAAGGTAAAAAAAAGACTAAAAATTTCTAAGTAAATGTTATTCATTAGGCCTATACTTGGCTTATGTTAGTACTTGTTTTCTGTTATGAAATTGTGTGCTTGCATTTGGAGTTGATATCAATTTTTCACCTCAGAAAAGCATTTTTACTTGCCCCGGAAGCTGATGCCTGGGAACAAGCAGGCAACGTCACCAAGATGATGTATGAGAGTTTTAAGACATGCTCGCTCAGAGCAGACTGTGCAAGTAATTGTTGCAATGAGGGAATTTCGTGTTGGTGAAAAACTGGCGCAAGAGTTGATGAAGCAATCTTCTCTAAAGGGTGCTCAAGATCAAATATGCCATGAGAACAAGAACTAGCCATTGGCCTGATCTCTAGAAGCATGTATTATCATAGGTCCTCAAATTGTCAGAACAGTTTCATCATCACTGCAAATGCAATAGATATTTTTGCACTTAAGTGGGTCAAATCAAACCCTGAATCCAGCAAAGATTTTAGAGCAGCACCTTGTTGCTGTAGAGCCTAGAGTTGCAACAGAAGACCAAGATTTTTGATGCCACCAGTAAGCCTCAACACTAAAATTACCAATTTCGGTGATTCTTCATGCAGACAGTGGCAAAATAACACATAGCCATTAACTCACATCAGCAATATGGATTAAATGCCCAGCTACTCGGGTGTGGAGTGGAAAGGTTCAAAAATATTTCTTGTGAAAACCAGTGGACATAACAAGATATGGCAGGTAGCAGAATGATTAAGATGTTTGTTATAAAAATGTACAAAAAACCATACTAAAAATGGAGGAATTTCATGTGCATGTCTGTGACAGCTGTTGGATGGTTGTAGATGGAGTGAAGTTGTGGAATTGATAGTGTGTAGAGCAGGTGTTCTGTGAACTATGCAAAAGATGCAGTTATAAGTGTGAGATGAGTTCAGATCCTATATTGCCAATAAAATCAAGGGGGAGCCGTGAAGAATAACATCCAAATTGCAGATGTACAAGGTATCGAACATTCATTGTTCAATCTTTGGAGGTGTTCTTTGGTAAGCCATTGAAGGGATACGTTTATGGTGAGTGGAATAAATCTAGGTACCCAAGGTATGAGTATTGACCATCATTGGGAGTTGTAAACTTTGAGACATCAACAGCACCTGTTGATCTAGATTGCTGCCTGGGAGATGAATTTTTTTTCTTGCATTTGCTACCCTAATGGATCACTCTTTCCAGTGTCATGATTGGCTGTTAAGTTGAGCTAATTGGGGGCTTCCTTGGACATGCATGGAATGGAGAAGGCAGTTTATGCAGTGCGGTGAATGGCAGGACTGATCTTGGATCATTGACAAGGCTGCATTATGTGCAAATGCATAATTCTTATTCCAAAGTACCATCCTTTGTCTGGAACGGGTTGCCAGAGGTAGTGGTAGAAGTGAGCACAATTTTATCATTTCTGAAACATTTAAACATGTACATGGATGGGGTAGATATGGAGGGATATGGACAAAATGCAGGCAAATGGGACTAATTTAATTGTGAAAACAGGACAGCATTGACAAGTTGGTCCGAAGAGCCTATTTCCATGCTGTAGACCTCTATGACTCTGGAAGGATTTTTTGAGGCTTCAAAGATCATTTATATGCTATGATATATAATCTTCTGAAGTTAGAAGAATGGAATAAAATGTCTTTTTCACAAATGATATCACTTGCCATCAATTCAAGTCCCAGACGCTCATAGCCTGGTGTAATGTTTGTATTTTGGTATCTTCAATGCAATCATCCACCTAAAGCAATATTAATTTTACCTCCATTCAGCACAGCCTTGATTATAATTCAATATTTGTATTATTCTATGTAGTCTGAAAGAAAATAGTAAAACAAATTGAAGACAAACATTAAAATGCTTATCTTGATGTCTGATCACAATTTGAATAATCATCTGCAGAGATGGAGAATAGTGCTTTATAGTATTGCATGCCATTGTTAATTGCAGTTCCACTGTGACCACTATTGCATGTGAATTGCCCTGTTCGTGTTGCACCTTAAACTGGAGAATCTGCTATAGGAAGGTGCTTCATTTATGAATTACAATGAACTTGGAAGAAATGTTGATTGAATCCTAAGGCAGTTTGGTGTAGAAATAGATTTGTAAGTTTTATTTATTAAGATATTTTTATTTGCTCAATGTTGTTTAATTAGCGTCTTTATGTTCAATCTGAATTTTAGGGGAAGTGCTCATGCAAATAAAATATCTAAGTCAACATTTGAATGACACCATTTTTAAGTTTACTTAGATTATTGACCAAAAACAAGAATTTGGTCAAATTGCAATGTATTGCAACACAGTACTGTGAATTGAACCTCTCTTCCAGGTGTAGGTTTTTTGCCTCCGCTTTTGTTGAAGTGCAGGGTGTTTGTTAGTTTAATGATTGAAGAGATGGATGAGTATTGAGTTTTGTGATGATGGCTAAAAATAGGACAAGAAACATTGGAAGTCTGGCAAGTTGAAATTGAACAGTATTAAGTTTGGAAGGTTATTATAACAGACTGACTAAACGAGTATTCCATGTTTTAGGTAAAAATACAACCTGTGGCAAAGTATGAATGGGAGCAGAAGTACTACTATGGCAACCTCATAGCAGTGTCAAATCAGTATCTGGCGTATGTCATCAGAGGTGAGAATGATTATATCTAGCAGATGAACAATGCACAATTTCTGAAACTGCAGGTCTCACACTCTATATTTCAGTGGGAATATTTGGGACTGAAGAGATCTGAAGTTCCTTTGGAGCAAAGAAGAGCGCTGGTACCCCATGCTGCAGTTTTTAACAATTTTTGAATATTTGAATATTAGAGTAACAATGAGACAATTTGGAAAGATCCTAAAGTGCCTGTCTGTTAGCAGTTTTGAATCCATGTATGGTTTTAGTTGTGGATGAATTTAAAGCAATTTGCTTTGTACATTGTCATTAAATTTAAAAGTTAGTCAATGCAAAGTGAATTTTTTAGGACATTCAGTATTAATTCATAGATGGTATATGGTTGAAGAACTTTGATTTATACATTTACGTGGAAACTAAACATTTTTATTTTCCTCTGCCCAGGGGCTAATGGTGTTGGCATGGTACGTGTGTTGAGTGTTGGAATGGCTGAACGAACTTTGCTGAAAGGATTTACCGAGGGAGTTGCTGACTTGGGTTTTGCACATCTCAATTCCAATCAACTAGCATGCGTTGATGAAGCAGGCAACCTATTTGTCTGGCAACTGAATGAAGAAAGTGGGAAAATACAGTATCCTTGTATAGACAGTGAAAGTCTTAATTAAAATTTAGATAAAACATTGATCTGCTATACGTTGTTCAAAAGTTGATTATTATAACTATCTTGTAAACTTACTTCGGTAATAATTTGCAAGTAGATAAGTTTGGGAGAAGGATTCAGTGACAGCTAGGAAGCTCCGTTATTACATATGGAATATATTCAAATTCATGATCAAATGTGTGAAGATATGATTGAATTGTTCTATTTGAGAATAGATACCTGAACACACACTAGTGAAAGACAGTTGGGATGAATTTGTGTCTCTTAAGGCCATGGAGAGTGTTAATGGACTTAAGTACATTTCATACAGCCCACATGGATTTTAACAAGGAGTATGAGACGGTCCATCAAATATTAAGTTATGAGATTAATGAAATAAAATTACAACAAGCATATTATCAAAACCATAGCAATAAACTCAGGCAATGATTTAAAGTCTTATGCAAACTATATTGGTGCTGGGCCCGCTGCATTTCATCATTTTTATAAATGATTTGGATGTGAACAGAGGAGTTATGGTTAGTAAGTTTGCAGATTACACCAAAATTGGAGGTGTAGTGGACAGCGAAGAAGGTTACCTCAGAGTACGATGGGATCTTGATCAGATGGGCCAGTTGGCTGAGGAGTGGCAGTTGGAGTTTAATTTAGATAAATGTGAGGTGCTGCATTTTGAAAAGACAAATCAGGGCAGGACTTGTACACTTTGTTGTAAGGTCATGGGGAGTGTTGCTGAACAATGAGACCTTGGAGTCATAGGTAGATAGGGTAGTAAAGGTGGCGTTTGGTATGATTGCTTTTTTGGTCAGTGCATAGAGTAGAGGAGTTGGGAGGTCATGTTGTGGCTGTACAGGACATTGGTTAGGCTGCTGTTGGAATACTGTGTGCAATTCTGGTTTCCCTGCTATAGGAAGGATGTTGTGACACTTGAAAGGAATCGGAAAACATTTGCAAGGATGTTGCCAGGGTTGAAGGGTTTGAGCTTTGGGGGAGGCTGAATAGACTGGGGATATTTTCCCTGGAGCGTCGGAGACTGAGGGGTGACCTTTATAGAGGTTTATATAATCATGAGAGGTATGGATGGGTCAAATAGACAAGGCCTTTCCCCCAGGGTCGGGGTGTTTAAAACTAGAGGACATAGGTTTAATTTGAGAGGGGAAAGATTTAGAAGGGACTTAAGGGGCAGCTTTTTCACACACAGGGTGGTGCATATATGGAATGAGCTGCTAGAGGAATTGATGGAGGGTAGTACAATCACAACATTTAAAAGGCATCTGGATGGGCAGATGAGAGGAAGGGTTTAGAGGGATATGGGCGAAATGCTGGCAAGAAGGACTTGATTAATTTAGGATATCTGGTTGACATGGGCGAGTTGGACCGAAGGGACTGTTTCCATGCTGAATGTCTCTATGACTCTATATATTTGGTGGTCAGGGTGGACGCAAAAACTTCTATTCTTTGACTTTTTGCTGTTCAAGCTTCTCTTTGTCTCTGTTGTCTGGTTTCTAGTTTTCTCTGCCAGAAAGCCTTTTCTTGGGATGGTCTTTTCTAACCTGGCTCTTATCCATGTGGCCTTTGTGCCCTGTCATAGTTCATATGAGCAATGTGAGGAAAACAATGGTACCCAGAAGGCAAAGTTGATTTCATCAAGCATTTAGGTAACTTGAAATAACTTAGACTGTCTTAAGATTTAGAATGAACTGCTTGGAAGTTTGGTGGAAACAAATTCAGCAGGAACATTTAAAAGTGCATTGCATATTTTGCTGAGGGGAAAAATTGCAGGGAGCTTGGATTAGTTAGTAAGTTTTACTGGAGAGCAGACACAGTAGGCCAAATGGTCCCTGTATGTATTACATGTCTTGGTGAAATTGGAATGTCTGCCTGCTGTGAAATCCCGACTTTTTTTGTTTGCTATGTCTGGAATAAAAACTTGATATAGTTAATAGTTTAAATAAACACATGCTGTAATAAATAAAGCAGTTCCTATACTTGAACGTTCAGAGAAAAACTGATAGTGCACATCAAGAGACCTGAGGGAACACCTTTAAATGCAAACAGGAGGGTCATCTGGTGCCCTTTTATTCCTGAGGAAAATGATGAAAATGATGAAGGAAATCAAACGCTTGCTGTTTTACATGAAGATAGGGTAAGATACTTCGAAATTAGTAATATTAGGATTTTACTGGATCTTTTTGTAACCAAAGAAACTACTTACTCTCTCTGCACACTAACGGTTTTGAATCGGAGCATAAATGTCTTGATTAATCGAGATGAAACAGTAAGAATATTCTTTCTTTGCTGCTATCTCTCTTCCAGTTTGGTGTAACTTTTAGTAATTTGGGTTACCTGTTAACTGTTTACTAAGGAAGGAAAATTTTTAATGATGTTTAAATAGATAAGATCCAAATGAGTGATCTTGATATTCATGTTTCAGTATCTTGCCACATGATGTCTTTTTCCATTGAGTTGTTGGGAGAACTAAATTATTATTATTTGTGTTGGTTGATTAGTTTTCATTTCTTTGATGTTTTAAGTGCTTTCTACTTGTAACTTCGTACAGGCTGAAGTTTGGGATCTGGATATTCTAAGAAACAGTAATAGTGTTTGGCCCATTGAAGCAACTGATGTAAAAGAAGGCTTTATCATTGTGAAAGGGCACACAGCAGTAAGTATAGGTTTAATTGAAATCAAAACCTAAATTAAACATGTGCTTTATGTGTTCCTTGTTTAACGTTTTATAGTGCATGGTTTGAGTTTCTCCTGACTTTATTATGACTAATCACATTTGTCACATGCTTAGCAGTAGCAACTCTGCTTATAAAAACAAGAAAAGGCTGGTGCCCATGAATGGAGTACTTTTATTTGTATTTATTTTATATATTATCACATTTTGTTGTGAAAGATATCAAACCTTGTTTTGCCAGGCTTGATAAATGGCATTTCCTAGATGGTATTGAATACTTGGAAGTAGTTACAATAAAAGAAATCTCCGACTCCTTGCTCTTGGAATTGTTTTTCCTCGTAACAAAGACTACTTGCACGTATATATCACTTTTTAATAATATATATACTGCTGAGATATTTCTGATTTTGCAGACACACATTTTCATAGAATGATTTCTTGGTATCTAAAGAATCAGATGTCTGATTGTCCGGTCTTTGTGTTGCACTGAAGTAGGGACAGTAATACTCTTCCATTCACTGGGGTGGCTGATTTGCCATTGCACTCCATATGCTGACATATCTCTGGTTATCAGAAGTCTATCAATTTCAGACTTTAAATCTAACAAACTAATTGATGCAACTCTACTACTATTTGTATGTTATAAGTGATTGAATTTTTTTAAGGCTGTCTTTGATAGTTTCTTAATTGACAAGGGAGTCAAAGGATATTGAGGATAGGGTAGGAAAGTAGAGGCCACTGTCTGATCAGCCATAATCTCATCAACTGGCAGAGAAGGGTCAAGGGACTGAATAGCTTAGTCCTGACTTTTATTATGTGTTTGTATCCTCCCAGTGTTGTTTATCTTTGTGTCGTTAACAATGATGTTTGTCTTAATGGCTTTGAGCTTCCATATTGTATTAACTCTTGGAAATTGTAATGAATATCTGGTGAAACATTTCTAAATAGTGTTTTGTTTCAGCGGATCAGTGAGGGTGCATTATCTCCAGATGGAACAGTACTTGCAACTGCGAGCCATGATGGTTATGTGAAGTTCTGGCAGATCTACATAGAAGGGCAAGATCAACCGAGGTACTGATGTATAATTTTGGCTAAAGCTAGCTGATCATGTTTTTTTTTTAAACAGAGTCAGCTAATATAAATTTGGTTTTTTAAAAAAAAAACAACCCAGACAAACTGTTGTAAATAATTAAAGGGCAGATTGTGCAAAAAGAAAGGTCCTCTGTTTGAATAAATTTTGTTAATAAATCCATTGAGGTTTAATAGTGGCAAATCACGTTTTTAAACTTATTTTTAATATTTCTTATGCTTCTTGGAGTGTAAAATGCCAGTCAAATGTGAGCAAAATATGTCAGCATGGTTATGACATGAAAAATATTTTGATCCTATTGATTGAAATGGTGCCTCAACTATTGAGGAAAATTACGAGCAGAGCATTGTTCAAAGTTATTTGATACTGAAAATCAGTTTATTTTCATTATTGAAGAAAGCTCAGCCTTCATTTCTTTGCTGTAATGTCTGTACCTTAATAAAATGTCTTTGAGTTTTGGTTAAAAAAGACACATTTTGTCAAACCTTTTTGCCTTGCAGTCAGCAGGGCAATTTTCAAGGATCCCAATTTAAGATGAAAAAGAATATACTGTATGAGAGGAGAGTTCTGATTGGTTGACAAGTAGACTCTGAATGGTAGAAGTGTTCCATGGAGAATGCATCCATTAATGATGATTCACAGTTAACTACCAGGTTTTGTTTGAATTTAAACTAAGCAGATCAACTCTCGTGGTCAGAGCGTGCCCTGCAAAATGAATCGGTGAATAGTTATTGTGATAACTCCTTTTAAGGACCTTGGGAAATCACCTAATTAATCTACCTGTGGAGCTTGTTGAGTATCGGTTTCCTTGGTAACAATCACCTGCCCAGCTGGAACTCATCACCTGAATCCTTTGGGGGCTTTAGTTGGCCTCTTATGGCACAGTGGTAGTATCTCTACCCCTGGGCCGGGAGGCCTGGATTCAAGTCCCAGCAGCTCCAAATGTGTGTAATAACATATCAACAGTTGATTAGAAAAAAATGGGGACGCGAGTGGTGCAGTGGTAGCGTGTACCTCCCTCTGAGCCAGGAAGTGTGGGTTCAAGCCCCACCTGCTCCAGAGGTGTGAAATAACATCTCTGAACAGACTGATTTTAATAAAGCTGACCTGGTATAAGAAGAAATAAAGCTGACAAGGGCTTGTGGGGTATGCAGTCTCTGGGCCTGGAGGCCTAGGTCAAAGACCTATCTGCCCCAGAACTGTTACAGCTTGTCTGCACAGGTAATTTAACAAAAAAAAAGGGCCAGGATTTTGGGGAAATAAAAAGAAAAACTAAAGCTGACCCAGGGGCTCTAATAGTGTACTGGTAGTGCCCGTACCTTTGAACCTGGGTTCAAGTCCTACATTCTTGAGAGGTGAGTAATAATATTTGAACAGGTTGATTTGGAATGTATCTATAAACGTTACCTGGAGGGCTTTTCTAGGGCAGTAATAATGCTCCTACCTCTGGCCCAAAAGGTCCAGGTTCAAGCCCGACCTGCTCCAGAGGGGTGTAATAACAACCCCAAACAGGGTGATTTAAAAACAAGCAGAGCAGACCTGGGAGAGGCTCTTGTGAGTCATTGGTCGTGTCCCTACCTCTGAGCCACGACGCCTAGGTTCAAATCAAACTTGGCCCAGAAGTGTCGTAACTCAAAGCAGGTTGACGAAAAAATCTCATTAAAGCAGACCTGGTGCCTTTAGAGAGAGGTGGGCACTGTGCGGGATACAATGCTTTATTTCCCCTTCCAACTCCAGGTTGCTTTAGCCCGTTCCTGCTCTCCCTGCCCCTTCCCTGACTTTTGATGGTTTGCATTGCTCGTAACTGGCTTTTCATGTAAATATCTAATCAGCTGCATGGCTGGTATACTGATGGTCGTCACTAGTTTGAAAAAAAATGTCACAGTGATTTTGGTCGTGGGAAAAACGTTGTGTGTAAGAGCACTTCGGGATATATAAAAAATAAGGCAGACCCGGGATGGGTCTGCAGAGCTGTCTGTCTCAGGCTGGGGCTAGCCTATTACACCGTGAATCGTGACTCTGTCTGTCTTGATGTTCAACAATAAATGATGTTCCTTTCTAGTTGGGCTTCCTGAGTTATTACATTTATCGACTGTTTTGTAGAGTTGAAACAGGCAGGATGCATGTACTTGTTGTTTCTGTCCAGAAAAAACAGGGACCTGTATATTAATTATTTTTATAGCTCTGCACACACCTTTCAGAGTATGTCATTCTGAACCTGACTGACAATCCTGAATTGGTTGTCAGTGAAATTCTTCATTCTTAAACCCCCAGATGATTCGCAAATATCCAACAGCAGAATCAGGTTTAATGTTGGACAGTGTTATGCATTTTGCAAGCATGGGCTGATTGGGTACAATCAATACCTTGTTCTGAACAGCTGAAGGGATGTGTTATTTTCTGTGATTGTGCATTCTGTTGTATGTGTGTCCAACATGCATGGTGCCACACCAGCCCTGAATTCATATGCTATGTAACTAATTTGTGTCAAAAGCAGAATGTCTCTTTGGCTTGATGGCAGCATCCTGTTCATGGTGCATGCCGTTTGTGTTGCTACCGCTAGTAGCAGCTTGAAATAACTTGCTTCAATAATTGCTGAAACTTTTAAGATCCCTTAGAGCCCTTAGTCTGAGGTGGATGGGGTCCTTTTCAGGATCAAGCGTAACCGCCTTAGGACGTTTCATGAGTTTGGGCAGTGTAAAATAAGAAATGATCTGCTCAGCATAATGCTTTGAACAATCAGTCAACCTGCTTGGTTTAAAATTTTAATAAAGCCTGGCAGTTAACTGTTAATCAACATTAACAGATGCATTCTCCATGACAGCATTTCATTTAGAATCCACTTGCCAATGAATCCAGCCATCATCTCTCATGCATGAAAAGTGGTTTTCTTACTAAATTCATGCAAATTATCCTGGTGAGTGAGTGACAAAAAACTTTGACAAAGTGTCTTTTATTTTTTCAGAAATACTCAAGGTCTGTACTCCTGAACAACTCTTTAAATTTTAATTCTAGCAATCATGCCTTAGATCTGAGCGCAGCATGGGTATCATTTTAAGAACATTGGTTTCAGTTGTGGGATGAATGACCAATACAAATTAAATCATTTAGCTCAAGTAGCCTGCAGTGTGTCCTGTCTACTGTTTTTAGTTCAAGTTTAGTCAAAATAGTAGCACTTGAAACTGTTTACGTGTCAGGTTTTTTTAAAGAATTTAAAGGAATATCTTGATAAACTCTTAGAATTAGTTGTGACATTTTGGTGTGGTTTCTCTAGACCTGGTGTAGCTTAATTCAACATCAGATTGTGTCCACGTTTTTCCTGTGATTGTTGTACCTTCCTTTTGTGCATAATTTACAATTGATCTCTAATTCACTCAACTTTCCAGACGAAGGTGGAATATAAGCATTGCTTTTCATCTACGTTGAGATTTGTGCTTGTTTGTCGCTACTGTTAGACTGCTGGTAGGCAAAATTGCTGGGCTTTGAACAACAGTTGCATAATGCTGTTGAGTGAAATTGAGTTTTGCTTGTTAAGAGTTTTCATTGCGACCTGATTTTAATTTTGCTACTTTACTGATGAATTGGATAGCATTTGATCAGCTATATTTTTGTTTTACACTTTCTTTAAACAACTTGCAATTATGCAGATTTGATTTCTCCACATTAGGTTCACTCATATTAGGTTAGGTCAGACTTAAGTGATTCCCTCATCAAGATTGGGTAACTAACTTGTTGTCAGACGTTTATTAATAAAATAGAGTAATTTATCTTAGTGGGATTCACTGATGCAACTAATGTGGGAAATGACTCGTTAGTGTAATGTCATGTTTATCTCTACCCAAAAATATAATGTGATGATGTGAGTTTTGTTCTAGGATCGTACCTACAAATAAGTACTTTCTTGAAGTTCTTTAACGAGAGCATTTATTTTTCTGCTGCCAGTTGTTTTTCACTAAAACATTTTAATGTGGAAAGTTATGGCTGAGCTTTGTGTTGACAGCATTTTACAAGCATTAATTTGCTGGGGTTTCTTTCGTGAGAGCTCATTCGCTAGATGTCGTGACGATGCTGTAATTTTCATTCCTGAATGCTGGTCAGAAGTTGGGATTGATTTTATGTTACTGTTGAGATGTGTTTAACACATATAATTCCAGTATGTATTGTATGTGACTGGAGAGAAACATGAAAATAACCTGTTAATCTCTCCTGTGCTTCAGAAATATCCTGTCAATAAATTGATATGGTCATATTTTGTGAAGTGCATCTCCTGTTTAATTCCTATCTTTTTATTTGTTGTTTGGACCTTCTGCCAGATGTCTTCATGAATGGAAACCCCATGATGGCCGACCATTGTCATGCCTACTTTTTTGTGACAATCACAAAAAACAAGATCCAGAGTAAGTTCATAAATTTGTATGTATAGATGTCTACTTGCTATTTGATCGATGCAGCAGCAATTCTGTACGACGTGCAAGTGTACAGAAATATGGTGCTGCATTATCTTAAAATTTCCTGTTCACATTTAATCCATATGATAGGTGGTTTCAAGAAAGTACAGTATTTTTAACTCATTTTGTTCATGCATCATGCTCAATTTAAAAGCAGTTCTTCTTGTTACTTGTGCTCTCACTTGTCATCCAAATGAGAGGAGGGAGTTGAAGTTGTCCTGACCTCCCTTTTTTTTTTCCAAACACCTGTCTGCAGACTAGTAATAGAGTTTTACTTTTGTGATTTAATAATGACAGAACTAAGTGACTGTGGAAGAACTTAGAAGCAGTACTGCAAAATTATTTTGGGATTTGTTTTTCTGTCTTCCCATTTACCCTTTCTAGGTCTCCGGACCACGTGCCACTTTGAAACTGTCCACTAGGAAGTGTCCAAAAACAGGTTGGAGTGATTTTCTCCTCTTTGCCCCCGCTTCCCTGCAACCCTCCACTGAAGAAGTGTGTGGCTATTGCTCAGCTCCCTCCTATGACAACGTGGCAGAGATTGGGAGCTGCTTTGTGGGGAATCAAGGGTATGAACCCAGATCCTTTCATTCAGTGTTGGAGCTCCATTGAGCTGCCTCGCTTGGCAATTTATTAAAACTAATATTAAACCAGCTTGTTTCAAAAAGAGAGAATGTATCGGTTTCATCAAAGGAACTATGGAAATGGGCCACTGTAAACAGTCCTACACAGTAGTGCTTATTTTCTTAAATAATTGCAAGATTCTTTACAGATTTTATATCATGGAGGAAAGATCTGCCAAGTTTGAATATTTGCCTAAAGTTTGAGCATTTACTTCAAATCACACTGAAAGGAGTTGTACTAACGTTCAACTCGGTAAATGTTCAAGCTGATAGGAGTTTTGCTCGTGACAAGATGCATTAAAATTAGTTGCTTCACGGTATTCAGAATATGAACATTTCAAAATATCAATAATTGAGCAATATCAACAAAATCACTCAGACTGTGACAACTGCAAGACAGTTTAAAAACCTGCTGTTAAATTAAGTCATATTCAGTATAGATTACTGTTTTAAATCGTGTATGAATGTGTGATTTAGAAGCAGCACCAAGCTCCTTGAGCCTCCAGCGTCAATCAGAAAGTTACTGACTGATCTGATTACATCACATTCCTGCCTACCCCAAATAACCTTTCATGCCCTTACTTGTCAAGAATCTATCTACCTCTGCTTTAAAAATATTCAGAGTCTGCATCCACTACCTTTGGAGCAAGAGCGTTTCAAAGAATTTCAATCCACAATGAGAAATAGTTATTCCTCATCGCTGTTTTAAATGGGGGACCCCTTATTTTCAAACAATGCCCGCTGTTTCACAAGGGGAAACGATCTTTTTACATCCAGCCTTTCAAGATTCCTCAAGTTCTTGTATGTCACCTTACTTGCATATTGTGTTCTGTCTATTCATGATACCTGCTCCGTAGTAGTTCTTTGGAATAATTTTAATGCAAAGAGCATCATTGTCTTCTTAATGGTGTACTTTTAAATAGTCCTTGAGATCTTCAGTGCTTTGTATGAATGAAAACAGCTCGGTTGAACCCCAAAAATGATGTCTTTAAATGCTGTCCCAAATGCAACAATACTCATGTTTGCTTAAAATCTGAGCTGTACTTATTGGCCCCTTATTGGTGGTTAAAGGGTAATTATCTCTGGTCACTGTCTGAATTGCTGCAGAATTTTTTTTTATATGCTCATCAGACATGGGCATTGTTGGCTGGCCAGTATTTATTGCCCATCCTTAGTTGCCCTTGAGAGGGTGATGGTGAGCTGCTGCCATGATTCGCTGCAGTCTGTGTGCTGTAGGTTGACACGTACTGCCCTTGGGGAGGAAACGACAGGATTTTGACTCAGCGACAGTAAAGGAATGGTGGTATGTTTCCAAGTCAAGATGATGAGCTACTTGGAGGGGAACTTGCAGTTAGTGGTATTCCTATGTGTCTGCTGCCCTTGTTCTTCTAAATGGAAGTGGTCATGGATTTGGAAGGTTCTGTCTAAGGATCTTTGAATTTCTGCAGTGCATCTTGTTTATAGCAGCAGTGTGTACAACTGACCTTCAGTGGTAGAGAGAGTGGATGCTTGTGGATGTGGTTCAGTCAAGCTGGCTGCTTAGTCCTGAATGGTGTCAAGTTTCTTGTGTTGTTGGAGCTGCGCCCATCCAGGCGAGTGGGGAATATTCCATCACAGTCTTGACTTGTGCCTTATAGATGATGAACAGTCTTTGGGGAGTCAGGAGGTGAGTTACTTGTTGCAGAATTCCAAGTCTCTGACCTGTTGCAGCTGCTGTGTTTTTGTGGTATGTCGAGTTGAGTTTCTGGTCAGTGGTAACCCCAGAATGTTGATTGTCGGGAATTAAGTGATGGCAACACCATTGAATTTCAAGGGGTGATGATTTATTTGTCTTTTATTGGAGATGATCATTGTTGGCATTTGTGTGGTGTGAATGAAAATGTTGAAAATTTTTCATGATTTTGTTTCCTTCCCCAAAACAAAGTTTGACTTGCTGTAGCTTTCAACCCTGTGAAGAGTATCACTTTGCAGTGTTGAATGCTGTAATTGGTACCCAGAGATATGAAGCACTTATATAACCCCAAATATGCAAAATGATTGTCAGGCTGAAGAATTCCGAATTTTCACAATGCAGAAGTAAAATACTTGAAGGACATCAGTGAATGAGGTCCAGCAATCTTGAGTGAAGATTTTTTGTGTTGAGATGGTGCCTTGAGAAGTTATTTTTGCTAATTTTCTTTTCCTTTCCCTTTAAGTTTTAAAATTTTATTGCCCAGCTTCCTTCATACAAATCAAAACTGTTAATGGAGACTAAAATCTAGCAAAACCAACCTAAGGAAATTACTTTTTTTTTAAATGAAACTCAGTGCCTCAAGGTATTTTAGCCTTGAACACTGGGCTGTAACATTGCATGGCTTCTTTACTTTAGCATGAAGCTAGAAAAACCAGAAGTTGTGTTTGTGAAAGTTGATTAAGAAGAACAAAACACAACAATGTGGCCTGTGAATTGAAATAATTTTATAAAATATCACAAATAGCCTTGTTTCAATAAGTATTCGGTTATAAAGCATTTTGAGGTTATGAGAGTGATCCTGTTGGGTGCTATGTAGATGTAAACTTCTTCTTTGATATTGATACGTATTAACTCTGATTTGATCTTCTGTTAATTATTTATTTTTCTCTCTGCTCTGTAGTGTCCCTTTCTGGCGTTTCCTGATCACTGGAGCAGATCAGAATAGAGAGCTGAAGATGTGGTGTACTGTGTCATGGACTTGTTTACAGACCATCAGGTGCAGAAACCAATATAACAGCTTAAGTATAATGTTTTTTCATTCTGAACTAATAACTCCTCTGTTTTTAAGCTACATTAAGATTAAGATGCCCCTTGTGCTAAAGTGGACAGTTGGCAATACATCATGATGTCAATGCATTGAAGTGTTGATTTCATTTAAAAAAAAAAAAAAAGTTCTGATATTATTTTCCTGTTTTGTTCCTTGGCATAAGTTTTACTTGCTGTAGCTACTGTCCATCTGATTAGAGAGAAGTTCCATTTTGCAGTGTTGGATGCTGTAATTGGCACCCGGAGTCATTAAACACTTGGTAGGCAGCCTGTGTTCAAGGTTCTCCTCCTCTTGTTGCCTCTTTTGTCCCTGTGGCTTTGACTATACTTCCTAGTCATAGAGTCATGCAGCATGTAAACAGACCCATTGATCCAACCAGTCTATGCCGACCATAATCTGAAACTAAACTAATCACACCTGCTTGCGCTTGGCCCATATCCCTTCAAACATTTCTTATTCATATACTTATCCAAATGTCTTTTAAATGCTTTAACTATACCCACATCCATCACTTCAGCTGGAAGTTCATTCCACACATGAACCATTCTCTGTGTTTAAAAAAAAAACTGCTCCTCATATCTTTTTAAAATCTTTTTCCTCTATATGCCCTTTATCCCCTAGCCTTGAAATCCTCCACCCTAGGGAAAAGACACCCGTCATTTACCTTATCTTACCTAGCATGGTAACGAAATGTCTGCGGAACAACAAACCAGCTCGGCGAGCCAACCAACGTCAACACCCACAACCCGAGCTACAGATCTACTCCAAAACCTTATTTACCTTATCTATACCGCACATGATTTTATAAACCTCTATAAGGTCACCCCTTAACCTCCTATGCTCCAGTGGAAAAAGGTCCCAGTCTATCTACCCTTTCCTTATAACTCAAACCCTTCGTTTCTGGCAACATCCAGGTAAATCTCTTCTAACACTCTCCAGCTTAATATCTTTCCTATAACGTGGCAATCAGAGCTGAACACATTCTAGAAGAGGTCTCACTAACATCATGTACAATCTCAACATGACATTCCAACTCCTGCACTCAGTGGTCTGAGCAATGAAGGCAAGCATGCTAAATGCCTTTTAATCACCCTGTCGACATGTGACGCCAACTTAAAAGAATTATGTGCCTGAACCCCTAGGTCTCCATGTTCTACGACATGACCCAAGACTCTATATTTAATTGAATAAGTCCTTCCCTTGTTGGTTTTACCAAAATGTAATGACTCGCGTTTATCCAAATTAATCTCCATCTGCCATTCTTCAGCCAATCGACCCCTTTGATCAAAATCTCTTTGTAATTTAGATAACCTTCTTCACTGTCCGCGATACCATCAATTTTGGTGTCGTCTGCAAACTTACTAACCATGCCTTCTATGTTCACATCTAAATGATCGACCCAGAACCGATCTCTGTGGAACTCTGCTGGTAACAGTCCTACAGTCCAAAAAATAACCCGCCACCATCACTCTGTCTGCTGCTGTTAGGCCAGTTTTGTATCCAACTGGCAAGCTTACCTTGATCTCGTGTGATCTAACTTTACTAATTAAACTACTGTGCGGAACCTTGTCAAAGGCTTTACTAAAGCCTGAGTACACAATGCCTACCGCTCTCCCCTCATCAATCTTTTTGTTTACTTCCTCAAAAAACTCTTATCAAATTTGTGAGACACGATTTCCCTCGCACAAATCCATCCATAATCATACGTTGCCTCTCCAAATTCATGTAAATTCAATCTTTTCGCATCACCTCCAACAATGTATCCACCACCAAAGTCAGACTCGTAGGTGTATAGTTCCCAGATTTCTCCTTGGATCCTTCCTTAAATAAAGGCACATTAGCCACTCTCCAGTCATGGACACTTCACTCCTAGTTATAGATGATACAAATATTATTGCTAGGGACCCGACAATTTCCTTAACTTCCCATAATGTCCTGGGATACACTAGTTCAGGTGCTGAAGATTTATCCATGTTTGTTTTCTTAGACCTCTAACACTTCCTCTTCTGTAATGTGAACTGTTTTCAAAACATCAATATTTATTTCCCTGAGTTCTTTAGCCCTCATTTCTTTCTCCACAGTAAAAACTGACGCACAATATTATTCAGTATATTTCGCATCTCCCCAGGTTTAATTTTTTTATATATGTTAACTGATAGTAAATGGATTAGCCTTTGGCAGTTCTGGGTGCAGAAACCCTTATCTAACATTGATTTGATGTAATGTTCTCTTTTGCTGTATGTTTATTAGCTAAACCGCTCTTAAAAACTTGTATGTCTTGTATATCTGAATGCTCGTGAATAAATCAAAGCAACTGCTTAAATATTTATGAATAATTAACATGTCTCTGCTTTTATGTGAGTAGTTCAGAACTGAAGACTGGGAGCATTGGGTGCTAATTGAATGTTATATTCCTTAACTTCATCTTTATCTTTTCTATCCAAAGACATGCTAAATTGCCCATAGTGTTGAAGGATGTGCAGGCTAGATGGGTTAGCCATGGGAAATGCGGGCTTACACAGATAGGGTAGAGGTGGTGAATCTGGATGGGATGCTGTTTGGAGGGTCATTGTGATGATGTTTGTTTTAGGTTCAGTTCTAGTGAATTGTGTCGTCCTTTCTTGCATAAAGTTTAAGCAATAGAAATTTTGCTTAAATTTTCTCCAATTGTGTTGAGTTGTGTGTACTACCACTTTGGTAATTTGGGGTCTTCAGTTTGTTGATTTTTCAAATAGAATAGGACCACTTTTATTGTATCATATTTACATTTCCTTTTTTTATGTTTAGGTTTATGCCTGACTCTTTTAATACCAATGTGTACCCAAGTCTGAAAGCCAGTCTGGATCTATCTGCAGAATACCTCATCCTCAGTGATGTACAGAGAAAAGTATGTGACTTCAAATCTCTTGCATTTCATTTCTAGTGCTGTGAATTGTAATTACAAGAGAGATGGCCATTCCCCACCTCATATTGGGGAAAGAATGTAAGGTGGAGAGCAAAAAAGAAAATCTAAACAAATCAGATTGCCCGGGTGAAGTTAATGTCAGCCATGTTTTTGAGCTACTGTAGGTGATGTGATGTCAATACATTCACAGTTGTATATGCCAGGGCTTCAAGGATATGGATGCTGTGATGGTGATGGAACAGTAATGTTGTTCCAAATCACTGGTGCTATTTGGAGATCAACTTGTAGGTGTATTTCCATGTATTTGTTGCCCCTTAACTTCTAAGTGATAGAGGTTGTTGGGCTAGAAATATCTGGCTGAGTTGCCGCAAGGCATCTTGTAGATGGTACTGCACAAATGGTGCTCTGTGCCAGTGATGAAGGCAGTCAATGTTTAAAATATACCCATTGGGCCCACAAAAATAGAAATGGGTACTGTTTGTAGTTATGAATATATACTGAGTAAAAGCCAAAACAAGTACTAGTGAAATGATGGTACATTTGGGTTTTATTTGCATGGTTTGTGATCTCACACTGAATGTTCCTATCAGTAGTAGTTCCATTGTGACAGGTTTTTTTTTAAATAGGCTAGATGTGAAATTATATTAATGCAATATAGTTTGAGATTTTTCCCTTCTTATGTCGAGCAGTATGTCTTTTGAGTATTTACATTATTATTCATTTTGTTAATAAATTTGAAGAACTTGTGAACATTTTTACCATGAGGATTAAGATGCTGAGCTTGATTGCCTCTGCTACATCCTCCATTGTTGTCATATGTCTAATTTTGGCTAACTACTCTTTCTTTCACGTACCCAAATTCTGCTGAACACCCTTTTGAGCTCCATTTCCTGTTTACTCAATCTCTTGCTCAAGATGTAAGTTCCTCTTAACCCACTGGTCTCTGATATGGGTCCTGATTTTTTTTAGAGGATTGGCAATCCCTTTTTTAGGGAGGAAGGGAGTTCATCATTTCAGCCAGGTGTTATGGATCAGGCCAGACCACCTCAAAATATTTTAAGAAAATAGCCTAGAGCCTAACTACTACTTATTTTAAAGGTAGATATGAAGTGGGTGTTCCAGGCAACTGGTCAAATCACTCGGCTTTAAGCAAAACAATTTATTTAAACACGACAGTTAAAACACGAACAAAAGAAAGCGGAATTTAAAATAACTTAACTGTTGGAAAACTTAACCGAATACTTGATATAGTAACTTAACTAATTAACTGTTCCAAAATAGTAACATCCCATAAACGCACCCCCTTGCCAAAATAAATTCAAACACAGATTCTTATAGGTAGGATTCCAATCCAGGAGACAGCAGCAACTAGAGACATTTGAGAGAAAGTCAGTTTGGAATCATTTACTGAAGCTTGCAACCCTTCTGGTACCCACACATCTTGTGACTGCTGCAGCTAAAATGAACTAGAACCTGAACTGGGAGAACTGGCCACTCCCCTTCCATTGTTGAACTGTTTTTTAAAAAAAGCTAGATCCCTAGACTCTTCAGCACTTCTGCCTTTACAATCTCTCTTCAAAACAAAAACCCAGGACAAAATAACCTTTTTAAAGTCACAGCATCGTCATACAGGAGATTCCACTCAGACTTCCAGTATCACAATTATTTCATAGTATGCAACTGTCAGAAGAAGACAAGACACATTCCCTTTCACAACAGTTCCCTGCTGTATTCTGAAACTTAAGGTCATGACAAATGCTTTTACAGCTCCTGTCAAAGTGTAGATACATGAGGCAAGTGTGGGGTGCTGGGTGAGTTGGGTGCCTAGGTGTATAGTCAAGGAGCAAGGAAGTAGGAAGTTGCGAAGAGTAACAGCTGGGTAGGTTGTTGGGTCCCATTTGAGTCAGGCATAGTGTGCCAAGTTCAGGGTTTCAAGGTGGCAAGGTAGGTGATGCACTGTTTAGGGTGAATTAAGGAGGATGCGATAAATCTGGTCCAGTTGGAATGGTGTGTGAAAGTGGTCTGGAGGAGGTGGAGTTTGAGGTACGTAGGGTAAGTATGATTTTGTTTTAATACTTAACTCAGGAGTTAGACAACGAATTTAATAATCTCAGCAGGTCTGGCTGCATCTGTGAAGAAGAAATCAGAGTTGATGTTTCAGGTCCAGTGACTGACCCTTCACAGCATCCGCAGTTCTTTCGATTTGAACTTAATAATTTAACTTTTGCTGCACATCTCTGTTATTTAACTGCACTGGAACCATCTGAAGTCTCGGATTTAAACGGAGACTCTCGGAGTGTTTCAGGCATATCAGAATTGCCTGCCAGAAATTTCAATTTCCCGGTCAATTCCTTTGGAGTGCGCTATGATTGGGATTCTGCAGAGTCTCCACGCATGACTCCAGTCTACACTGGCGTTTTCTTTTGAGAAGGTCCAGTGTGGAAGACTGGAAGCCTGTGTCCAGCGGGATTCTGCAGGGATCAGTGTTGCTGCTTGTGGTATATTCAAACAATTTAGACTTGAACATTGGAGAGTTTATCAGTAAGTTTGTGGATAATATGAAAATTGATGGAGTGGTAAATAGTGAATAGGATAGACTTAGATTGTAGGAGGATATGGACAGCCTGGTTAGATGGTTTCATTAGTGGCAAATGCAATTCAGTCCATATAAGTGTGAAGTAATGTACTTGGGCATGGCAAACAAACTAAAGGAATGCATGATGAATGGTAGGATCCTGGGAAACACTGATTGTTTAGGCCACAGCTAGAGTATTGTGTGCAGTTCTGGAATCCACATTATAGGAGGCATGTGATTGCATTGGAAAGAATGCAGAGGAGATTATCCAGGATGTTGCCTGGACTGGAGAGTTTTAGTTATGATGGTAGATTGGATAGAGCAGGGTGGTTTTCCCTGAGCAGAGGAGGCTGAGAGGGGCACACGATTGAGATGTATAAAAATATGCGGAGATGAAGACAGGGTAGACAAGAAGAAAGTTTTCCTTTGGTAGACGGATCAGTGATCAGATGGTATAGATTTAAGGTTAGGGGCAGGAGGTTTCGAGGTAAGGAATTTTTTTAAAAACAAGGGTGAAGGGAATCTGAAACTCACTGCCTATAAGGGTGTGAGAGGCAGAAACCCTCATAACATTTAAGAAGTATTTAGATGTTCACTTGTGGAGCCAAGGCATACAAGGCTGTAAGACAAGGGCTGGAAAATAGGATCAGAATAGTTAGGTGGTTCTTTTTGACCAGCACAGACTTGATGGACTGAATGACCTTTTTCTAATCTGTAGACCTCAATGGCGATAACTGAATAACAGCTGTGTGGCCAGTAGAAAATCTGGCTGTTGTCCTTTACCCAATCTGTCCTTCTGGCTTTTAAATCTGCAACCATTGTTCTGTGTTCAGGTTTCTTGAACTAAATACTTTTCTTGGTATAACTCACCACTGCAGGAACCAGATCTTGTGTCCCTATGGTCTGTAGCTTACAGTTTACTGCTAAAAGCTAGGTAAATACTTTGCTGGTACTGTACATGAAAACCTTTATCATCTCAGCTTCAGTTTTACTGATATTTTATCAGATTTCGTCCCGACAAATAATATCACATCCTGGCTGTTATTCCATTCTCCACCTCTGCTTCCTCCTTGGCCTTCTGCGTTGCATCTTGTATATTTTCAGAATTGCACTGTTGCCTTGCATGAAATCCTGCTCCCTTAGTGCCACTGTCCTTGCTGATCTCTGTTGTGTCCTTTGTGCTTCACCATTATTTAAAAATTTCTGTATGGCTTTGGCTGTCTGCATCTATAGAATTTTCAGCCCTGCATATCGATAAGAGCCCACCATTCTTCCAACCCAGGCTGCCTTTGTATTCTTTGCATCCCTGTTTTAATAGTCTCATTCTGATTCTGCATGAATTTGTCAGTCTCATGAACCAGCACCTTAAAATCTCTCTTCAGCAATCAATTTGACAGCATCCCTTACTTTCCTGTTATTTGACATTGAAGCTGCTTGGGATGTTTAAGGTACTATTAAAAAATAAGGCCCTGTTTTTTGGATAATTTTCCCTACTGCATGGGTAACCGTATTGTTTTAAATTGAATTAACTGTTGCACTGTTGCAGGTGTTGTATGTGATGGAGCTACATCAGAACCAGGATGAAGGCAAAGCCCATTTTGTCTCCATATCTGAGTTTTTGTTGACTCACCCAGTACTTAGCTTTGGCATCCAGGATGTCAGCAGATGTCGCCCAAGGCACATAGAGGCTCTATCAGCTGAGGAGGATAGTGACACTTTAAATGCAGGTCAGTAAAACAATTAATGGTACATTTGAAAATGTCATGCTTGTACTGTTCATTTTAAAGAGTGTATACTGTCTTGGTGCTTTATTTTATTCATTCATTCATGGGTTGAGGGCATCGCTGGCTAGATCAGCATTTATTGACCAGAGGGCAGTTAAGAGTCAACCACAGCTGTAGGTCTGGAGTCACATGTACACCAGATCAAGTAAGGATGGCAGATTTCTTCCCTAAAGAGCATTAGTAAACCAGATGGGGCTTTTCCTGACAATGATTTCATGGTTGTCACCAGACTGTGATTTCCAGACTCATATCGAATTCAAATTCCACCATCTGCCATGGCCAGATATGAACCTGGGTCCCTAGTACATTACCTGGGTCTTTGGTTTAAAGTCCAGTGACAAATAACGACTAGGCTGTCACCTCCCCAATATCATAGTAAAGGAAGTAAGTGACCAGATACATTTTGGGTTTGAGCACGTTTCACCATTGAGTTGTGATCTGTCTAGGGTGTGTTCTAACGGTAATAAAACAGGCAGCCTGAAGGAACGTGGATGCTCTTCAGTCAGTTGTTGTGTTTCCACTAGTGTTAATATTGCCTGCCCTTGGTGAGTCTTCATTACGTAGGAGTTGATTATGTTCAGGGATTTCATTACTGAGAGCAAAAACAAGGACACTCTCTTTTGTTAATAGTACATTAGTTTTCACTGAAGTTGCGAAGTCACTAAAGTTAACTTTTTATACATTAAACATTAAAGACTGATAATATTTTTGTGAAACTCTCGTCCCTCACCCAGTTCTGAATATACCTATATGTTCTCATATCAATATTATCTGTCCCTGCTGCTGTCGTGTTTACTAATTTATTTAAAATTAATTTGTAATCTGAAATGTTGCTGTTCATATCACGGTGTTAAATTCTTTGTCCCTGATAAGTTGCACATCTCGCCACATAACTGACCTTTTGTAGCAGTTAAGTTGTCTTATGCCCCTTTTATTTCCATAACCTAATGCTTCTTGACAATTGGCCAAGTGTAAATGGAAATGCACAGCTTAGATAACTCTGAGAATATTTCAAAACCTGGTTTTAAAATTCGAGCAGTTTTAGTGGAGTTACGGAAATGACCCACTGCTCTACAGAGAAGTCATGTGGAGCTTCATTTGGAATGCTTTGTCTCTGATTTGTGGAGAATGGACAACATTTTTTATACAAGAATCATATCCTTGATAACTAACTAACATTTACTGACTCAATCCTGTGTAGAATTAGAATATCCAAGGGCACAGAAAGCAAGTAGGAGAGTGAAATTAGACTAGATTGTTTGTTTATGTATGGAAGAGTGAATGGCTAAATAGATTTATTTGAAGTCTTTAGTATTCAACAGTTCCAGTATCTTTGCCTCCATGCTGTCTAAATGCAAAGGTGTTCTTCCATTTGTGCACCATTTCTGATATATTTAACTTTTTCTTGTCAGAAGGAACTCCTGGCCTTGTTGAATCTTCAGTAGTACAGCTAAAACTATATTGTGTACATACCAAGTAAGTGACACAATTAAGGTTTTACTGAGCTTATTGGTGACTTTCTGACTATTTTGTGTATGTATCACTCTCTCTTGTTTCAGATAGATGCGTATGTTTATGATCAACACGAGATTATGTAATGTATTAATCACTCGTAAAACCTAAAAAAGCTAACAGTGCCCTTGAAAAATTATGCAAAAAGAGTTATCCTTGAAGTGGCTTGGATGTTGGTTGTGTGTCTATCATTGCATGCTTCATTGCTGAAGTTATAATCTTGAATAGATTTTTGTTTACAGTTTTACATGTAATTGACTACTGCTCCCCAGCCCATTAGAGTTCGTGTTTACACTGTGAGAAATACATAATACTTGAGTATAATCGGTGCTCCTCACCTTTAGTTGATCAGTAATTGTCCCTTTCCTGTGATGGTCCTGATTTGGGGCTTCAGTCGAATGCTGCAAAATGAATGTTTTATCTGATTATTAGAAATAATTTTTGATTATGTTGCTGTTGAAATGAAACTAAAATAGTTAAAACCCTGCCTGAATGTATAGTGTTCAGAAATAAATAATTTCTTTTAAGGAAAGATAAATTCAGCAGTTTTACCATTTTAAGTATGTAATTGTAACAGCTATTTTGATGGGTGTAGTGTCTCTTCACTTTGATTTTGCAGGTTATTTTCAAGGTTTGTTGTATTTTCCACTTTTGACCTAAATACACTGACTTATACCGAAACATGACACTTAAGGACCCCACTTCAATAGCCATTCCTAATAATCTGAATTAAAATACAATAGTAATCTAAAGACTCTTCTTTCTCGGTGATAAACATGTGAAATCATCAGCTGGGGAGATCAATGAGAGGAATAATTAAGGTTGTTCAAAATATGAGTCAGTGATTAGAGATGTAAGTACAGAAAGGCTGTGCTTCAGTACGGAATTGCGATGTGCAAAAGGATTTGGTTGCTCTAGTGTATGAGTCGAAGTTAGAATACAGATGCAGCACATAATCAAGAAGCTTAATGGATTGCTATCCTTTTGCTATGAGGAACTGAACATAAAAGTAAGGATGTTTCTGATACACGGCATTGTGAGACCACATCTTGAGTACACTGTGCAGTTTTGGTCGTCTTATTTAAAGAAGGATGTGAAGGCATTGGAATTGATAGAGATGGTGATGTAGTGCTAATTTCACTGGGCTGAAGGCACGAAGGTCCAGTATAATTCTCTGGGGAAGGGTTTCAAATCCCACTGCCGCAACTGGTGTACTAAAATTTATGCTTACATTGGTATTTCCTTTCTTCTGGGCTAGAAGGTCTTCGTTCAAGTTCCTCCCTGTGTGGAGGTGTGTCATAACATGTCGGGAAAGGTTGTTTTAAAATGCATGTACATGCATTGGAGGAAGTTCAGAGGAAGTTAACTAAATTGACTGAAATGTGTGGGTTGTGTTGTGAGGCTGTGTTGGACAAACTGAGATTGCTTCCTTTTGATTTAGAAGAGCGAGTGGTGACTTGATTGAAGTGTATAACATCCTGAACAGTCTTGACAAGGTGGACGTGGAAAAGATGTTTTCTCTTGTGGATGAATCCAGAACTTGGCACTGTTTTGAAATTAGGTGTTACCCTTTCAGGGCAGATTTTTTTTCTGAGGGTTGTATGACTTTGGAACTCTGCCTCAAAATGCCATGGAGCTACGGTTGTTGAATACTTTTAAGGCAGATGTTGATAAATTATTGTTAGACAAGGGAATTGAGTCAACAGGGGTAGTTGGAAATGTGGTATATAAAACGCATACATTGTCTTATTGAATGGTGGCACAGGAATGAGGGTCCGAATTGTCTCTTCCTGCTCCTATTTCCAATGTTCATATTGGACTAAAAGTCATTCATGTTGGCTTCCTGGGGTCAAATTTAAATGCATCTGTTTGTCAAGCTTCTTGTCATTAAATTAGGGATGCACTTTGTATTTAATCCTGTTCTCAGCCAGTGCCTGTCAATTGCACTTTATTGCAGAAGTTACAGAATAGTAATCAGGCATGTGAATCCTCGTCTGTATTTCTGATCAAGCTGAGCACCTTGACTTCAGTTGTATTATCCAAGTGCCATGCTGTGAAGTCTGGATGCATTTGCTGCCCTTTTCATTCTAGATGGTAGACCTCATTGTTTTGGAAGGTGTTGTCACCTTGCCGAGTTACTTGAGTGCGTCTTCTAGATAGTGCATGCTGTTACCATGCTGTTGATGATAAAGGGTGTGAATGTTGATAGTGGGTAGATGGCTGCCTTGTCTTGGATGTTGACAGGCAAATTGCGAGTTTTTAGAAATGCACTGGTCAAGGCAAGTGGAGAGTATTCCAATCACACTACTTACTTGTGCCTTGTATTTGGTGCATAGGCATTGGGAATACAAGGGGATACAAGAGGTGATTTACTCACCAAAGAATTCCTAGCCTCGGACCTGCAAGATTCAAAAGCTGTTCCTGTTCAGTTTCTGGTCAATGGCAACTGCCGAGATGTTCTAATCGGTGACGATTAATGCCATTGAGCATCAAGGGTCTATGGTTAGATTTTTTCTTGTTAGGGATCATCATTGCCTGACACTTGTGTGGCATCAATGTTACTTCGTCAGTTATGAGCACAAATTCGTGAGTGTTGAGCAGGCCGTGCATCTGGACACTGACTGCATCAGTGTCTTTGGAGTTCTGAATATTGTGCAGTCATCGGCAAAAGAAACGATTTTTGACCTTGTCTTCAAAGGAAGGTCATTGACAAACAGCTGAAGGTGGTTGCTTTGAAAACATATTCCCGAGGAACCCTAGACAACAAAGTGCAGGGCTGGATGAACACAGCAGGCCAAGCAGCATCGTAGCCTCTCTGCTCCTATGATGCTGAGCCTCTCTGCTCCTATGATGCTGCTTGGCCTGCTGTGTTCATCCAGCCCTGCACCTTGTTGTCTCGGATTCTCCAGCATCTGCAGTTCCTACTATCCCCGAGGAACCCTGTTGTGACGTCCTAGGACTGAGATGGTTGACCTGTGATTGTGGATAGTTTTCCTCTATTTCACACTGACTCCATTTTTGCTGGAGTTTCTTGATGTTACAGTCAGTTGAATGCTGCCTGGATGTCAAGGGTGGTCAGTCCCATCTCAGCTCTGGAGGTCAGCTCTTTTGTCCTTGTTTGGACCAGAGCTATAATGAGGTCAAAATTTGCACGGCCCTGATGGAACCCAAACTGAGTGTCAGTGATTAGGTTATTTGTTTGCAAGTGCTGCTTGATAGCACTGTTGACGACTCTTTCACTAGCAGACTATGGTTGACTGAAGAGCCATAATTGACAGGGTTGGATTTGTCCTGCTTGTGAGCGCAAATTTCCGTTTTGTCAGGGTGATGCCAACACTTGCAGTATCCCCTGTCTTCAGCAGTTTCTTGCTGTCATGTAGACAATGTTCCCTGTAAGCTGTGTGAATAAGCAGCCACTCCAAGGGTTTGTGCTTGCCATTCCCAACATCGACTTGTGATTTCAGAAGTTGCTGCCGTGCATGGACGTCAGAGATCCACGCTAAAGTTAGGGAGAATGTAACATGTGGAGTGATTCAATTTGGTCTATGGCTGGTATCTGTAATGCTGGGCATACCTGGAGGAGGCCAAAATGATAAATCCACAAGCACCTCTGACTGAATATAGATGCAAGTATTTCAGCCTTGCTTTTGCACTTATAAATTCGGGTTTCCCCATTGTTGAGGAAAGGGATATTTATGGAACTTCCACCTCTTTGTTGTTTTATTACTCACCGTTACTTCATCTGGCAACTCCGTGTCTACGACTGTGTCTCCAGCTCTAGAACGTTCTTCCGGTCCAGTATGTCTTTACCTAAGGGTCATACCCAAACATGGTGATGGTGGTGTTTGCAACATTGTCTGTAAGATATGATTTTTGAATATGACTATGTCATACTGTTGCTTGATTAGTCTGTGGGTTGGCTTTTCTAATTCTGAGACAAGCTGCCAGACGTTGGTAACAAAAACTTTACAGTGTTGAAAGGGTTGTGTTTGCCATTTCCAATGCATAGCTTGATGCCAGGTGATTTGTGGTTTGATACAACTGAGTGGCCCTCAAATCTATCAGACAATTAGAAGTGCGCACTTTGTGGGTCAGGAGTCACATGTAGGTCAGATAAGGAAAGGATGGCTGATTTCCTTCCCTGAGGACATTAATGAACAAGGTGGGATTTTATGGCAGTCGACACCAGTCGTGTAGACACCATTAGGTTAGCTTTTAATTCCAAATGTTTTTATCGAATTTAGTTATCTCCTCTAGTGGGATCTCTCAATGTTCCCAGAGCACGAGCTTGGATTACTAGTCCAGTGATTTCCACTGTGCAACTGCCTCCCTACAATTATATATTTTTTTAAATGAGACCGAAGTTGTGCTTAGTACTCCAGATGTGATCCCATTGAAGCCCTGTTAGCTGCAATAAAAGCTGTTTACTTGTTTATTTTTATATTAATTTGTGGGACATGGGCTTCACTGGCTGGCCAGCATTTATTGCCCTTCCCTAGCTGCCCTTGTACTGAGTGGCTTGCTAGGCCATTTCAGAGAGCAGTGGAGAGTCAGCCACATTGCTGTGGGTTTGGAGTCACATGTAGGCCAGACCAGGTGAGGATGGCAGATTTCCTTCCCTGAAGGACATGAGTGAGCCAGATGGGTGATGATTGGCACTGGTTTCATGATCTTCAGTAGATTCTTAACTCCAGGTAGTTCTTAATTGAATTCAAATTCCACCATTTGCCATGGTGGGATTCAAACGCAGGCCTCCAGAACATTAGCTGAGTTTCTGGATTAGTAGTTTAGCGATATTACATTCTGTTCTACCAAATGCCATTTTATTTGCCATTTTATAAGTACGGTGAGAATAAATTATATTTAATTAGTGATTACGCTACAATGCAATTCAACATGCAACCCCTTGAATGCTTCTAACTTCCTGATCAATTCTTAGATGCACTTACTGTTAAAGGTTTGGATATTTAAGGGAATTTCCTATATTCTTGCACTTCAGTGTTGAATGTCCTTGCGTTTTATTTCTGCCAAAAATTGCATTGAGTAAAATAGTCTCCATAATGTGCTAAAATGCTCAAGTGATTGTGGATGCAGATTCATCTCCTCTGAAATATGGGCACATCTATTTTTTATCAAGATGGGTGATAAGACCTTAAGACAGAAGCAGGGGATGCAACTTCATTCTAGTTACTTACAAATTGGTATTAACTTGTGTTTTGTCCTCTTTAATCTTGAATTGCTGGTACCATTCCACTTAAATACTTTATCGTTGAAAATCAGTGTGAATGTTAACTGTTGTTGTTTGATAAGGTCACTTGACATGATGTGTCAGGCTTTGCTATTCTTAAGATAGTCTGAGAAGATATAATACTGTTTTTTCCATCTCTGGACCAAGCCAATTCTCACAGACTATAAAACAGGATTATTGCAGTCACCTTTTTTTGCACAGCTGGATTTCTGAAATTTGCACTGCAAAAATGGTGTTTTCATCATTACTTTGAAATAGTCTTGTTAACAGCTTGAGAACCACCATTCAGGCTATTTCATGTTTGGACAGTTGTCTTTGTCCTTTATCCTTTTTTTAAGGAGTCAGTCAAAACGTTTTTCATTGCAGCAGAGGAATTGTAAATTTTGTTTCATTTAGATTAAATAGAACGTAGTCCCTTCTGCTGTTGAACGGACTATGCAGTGTGACTTGGGGGGGCCATTTCAGGCATCAAGTTGAGAGCTACAATTGTCTCTTTAATCTTCAAAGCATGCTTTGAATATTGTTTTGTTTCAGAACGCTCCAGGATGTGCAGATTTATTTCCAGCCACATCAGAATACAGAAGAACCTGTTTTAATGTCATCTGCTGCCTCACATGAAGATTTCAGTAAGTTTTACGTTCAACTTCTTCCTTCAAATTTCATCAGGGTGCCATGTAAAAACTCTGTATCCACTTATTTTTAGTTTATGCCGCAATTTTGTCTTTTTACCTTTGCTGAATGCGGTATTTAAGAACTTTCTTTAGCACAGGGTGTAACATGCAATATCTCACTGTTGTCTTTCAAATAAATCTGTTATTTGATACTGTAAAACCAAATCAATGTCAAAATTATGTAAATTCATTTAACGACATCTTTAAACATGAAGGTGGACTGCAAATATTATCTAATTGATCACTATTGAGCAGATTGTGTCCTATTTTGTTCTGTTTAAAACAGTTGAATTATTGTCTATGTAATTTATCCCGTTCTCAATTTCAGACTTGCCTATTTTTCGAAAACATTTTTTGAGTTGTTTGAAATCTAGCATATCTGTTTGATACAAAAAATAATGTTTTTTTTATTTGCTTTTTACATACCTCTTTTCACCAAACTTGCAATGATCTGTTCTAAACCTGTTAACTTTCACATTAACCATGTGTTGTGCCCTAAAATATCAACTTGTTTTTGTTACCTTGGAGTTTAGTTTTGGACAATCTCCTGCCTTTTGTATATGGTTAAGAAAGTGATCATATATGGGCGATGTGTGTTCTGTAAGAGGCTTGTGTGTAAGGCTTCACTGTCACCTTCAATGATGAAAAATGATTCTTTGGTTGAGTTTATTAGTTGGGAAGGATTAAAAGTTGTGGAACTTTTGTTCTTAAAATTATTGGAATTAATTATACTGGATGTTTAATTTTGCTTTTGAAGCTTTTGCAGATCGTTTAACAGATATGAGTGTTGAAGGGCCAGCATCGGAAAAGGGATCTAGCAGAGGTTCTCAGCATGATTTGCGGCGTATGGTGGATCTTCCAGCTCCTACAGACTTTCTCTCTGTCTCCAATGATGTGAAACCAAAGCTAATGACTCCAGATGCTTTCATGACTCCTAGCACTTCACTTCAACAGGTGAGTGTCATTTAATATTTTTATCTGAAGATGGAATCTAAAGTTTTGATTCTCTGATGAAGTTTTGCTTTTTGTCAGTGAAGGATATCTACTGAGGGACTTACAGATGGAGGCAAGGGCATTACTGAGGTACTAAATTCATAATTTGCATCTTCCTTACAAAAGACGAGAATGCTGCCCAGGGCATGGTGACAGAAGAAGAAACTCTTTCGTTAGAAGGGATCAAAATTAGTAAGGAAGAAACCTTGGATAGATTGTAGGCAATTAAAGTTAACAAGGCATGCTGACTGGATGAAAAGCATCTAAGGATTTTGAAGGAAGCAAGGGTTGAAATTGTGGAGACACTGGCCTCCATATCCCAGTCTTCCCTTGGTGGAAGTGCCAGAAAACTGGAGAATTACCAACATTACAGTCTTGTTCAAAAAAGGTTGTAAGGATAATTCCAGCAATTACAGACCAGTTAATTTAGCTTGCGTAATTGGGAAAGTTTTGGAAACAGTTATTCACAACAGACCCAGTAGTCTCATGGAAAACATGGATTGATTAGGAAGAGTCAGCATGGATTTCTAAAGGGGAAATCAAATTTAACTAACTTGGAGATTTTGAAGAGGTAACAGAAAGGATTGATAGGGATAACACTTCCGGAAATTCACATTCATCAGGCACTCCACAACACACTTGTGAGGAAGGTTTAGGTCATGGTGCAGAAGGGGCAGTAGCAACATAGATGCAAAATTGGTTGAGTGATAAAACAGGGAGCGACGATCAATGGATACTTTGCAATCTTGAGAAAGTTGCCCAGTGATCACTATTTGGGAGCCTTCCTTTTCCTGATATGTAATAATAATCTGGATCGCGGTGTGCAGGAGACAATTACCAAGTTTGCAGAAAACACTAAACCTGGAAGAATTGTAGATTGTGAGAAAGATACTGTGGAACTGCAAAAGACCTTTGAAACGTTGGTGGATAGGTGGCAGTTGAGGTACAATGCAGAGCAGTGTGAGGTTTTGCACTTTGGTTGGAAGAACACTGACCGATAATACAAAATATTAAAGGAGATGCAGGAACAGAGGGATCTGGGTGCATATCTGTATTGATCTTTTGAAGCTGGCAGGACAGGTGGAGGGAGTGGTAAATAAAAGCACGCAGTGTTATTAACAGCTTTATTAATAGGGGAATAGGATATAAAAGCAAGGAGTTGAAAGTGATCCTGAAATTGTGCAAGATACTTGTTAGACCTCACCTGGAGTATTGTGTACAATTGTGGGTGCCAAATCACAGGGAAGATGTGAATAAATTGCAGTGAGTGCAGAAGTGATTCCAAGTATGAGAAACTTAAGCTGAGAGGATAGATTGAAGAAGTTGAATCAGAGTCATACAGCTTGGAAACAGACTCTTCGGTCCATGCCGACCAAGTTTCCCAATATAAACTGTTCCACTTGCCTGCGTTTGGCCCAAATCCCTCTAACCGTTACTATTCATGCACCTATACAAATGTCTTTTAAATGCTGTAACTATATCTGCATCCACCACTTCCTTTTGGCAGTTCATTCCATATACGATCCACCCTCTGTATGAAGAAATTGCCACTCAGGTCCCTTTTAAATCTTTCTCCTCTCACCTCAAAAATATGCTCCCTGGTTTTGAACTCTCCCACTTAAGGGAAAAGACCTTTGCTAATCACCTTATCTATGCCCCTCATGATTTTGTCAAACTGTATAAGGTTACCGCTCAACCACCTTTGCTCCAGGAAAAAAGTCTCAGCCTATTCAGCCTCTCCTTATAACTCAAACCCTCCAGTCCCAGCAACATCTTGTAAATCTTTTCTGAACCCTTTCCAATTGAATAATATCCTTCCTACAGCAGAGCAACTAGAACTGTACACAGTATTCCAGAGGAGGCCCCACCAACATCCTATATAACCTCAACATGACATCCGGGCAATCAATGAAGGCAAGTGTGCTAAATCCCTTCTTAACCATCCTGTCTACTTGCAATGCAACTTTCAAAATGTACCTGAACCCCTAGGTCACTTTGTTGGACAGTACTACCCAGGGCCCTACCATTAATTGTATAAGTCATGATCAATAGTGTCACTACTGCTGAGTTCCTCATTGCCCTATCCTTGACCAGTTATACCAACAATTTGAACAATGTAGCAAGTCTGATGTGTACTATCACATGCTAATTTTCCTCTGAAGTTGTATCTTATGATTTAGACATCTATTGTTGGATCAACATCCTGCAGTTTTCCTGTTGGGAACACGCTCACTACAGGAGCTGCAGTATTTCTAGAGGAAGGCCTATTGCCAGTTTCTCAGGGTAACTAGGGACAGGCAATGCCAGTGTTATTCAGAACAAATTAAAACTAAATCATCCAGTAGGATGCCTTCCTATATCTACTCTGAAACCAAAAAAGATTGAGCTCTGTTGTACGAACTTACACTTGGAATGGGTAGGTTGTCTTATGAGGAAGGTTGTGTTCTCTGAGTTTGGAAAAATAAGATGTGATTTGATTAGAAATTTAAAATCCTGAACAGTCTTGACAAGATAGATGTAGAGACGCTGTTTCTTCGAATTGTAAAATATAGGTCTAAAGGTCGCAATTTTTTTTTCTGAGGGCTGAGTGTGTTTGGAACTCGTTTCTTGTAAAGGTAATGGTTGAATATTTCTAAGATAGAAACAAATAGATTCTTGTTAAACCAGGTATTGAAAGGTTAGCAGGTTGGATGGGAATTTGGATTTGAGATTGCAATCAGATCAGCCGTGATCTTATTGAAAAGTGGAGCAAGCTTGAGAGGTGAATTCCCTACTCTTGCTCCTAATTTGTATTTTTGTTAAAGGCAGTTAATACTTGAGAGGATTAACTTGCATCAAAAGATGAGCTCTGCTCATCAGAATTTAAAGGACTGTTTCTTGGAGGAGCTCACCAACATTGTGGGGTGTGACCAACAATTAGGACCCTTCTCCCTGGGGAGAAGGAAGCTGAGAGGAGATTGAAGTTTTCAAAATCATTAGCAGGCTGTACAGAGTAGATAGGGTGAAGGTATTTCCATTTGGAAAAGAAACAATAACGTGAGGGCATAGATTTAAAGTGATGTGCAAACAAAGCAAAGGTCATCGGAGGCTGCACTGATGATGTTATCCAGCAGGTTAATGAAACGTCTGCGGAACAACGAACCAGCTCGGCGAGCCGACCAACGACAACATCCACGACCCGAGCTACAAATCCACTCTAAAACCTTAGAAGCCAGGGTAATGTGAGAAACAGCGAAGAGCTAGGGTGTGGAATGCACTGCTTGGAAATGTGTCAAAGGCAGGTTCAATTGGGGCATTCAGGAGGGCATTGGATGGTGTTTTTTTTTCAGATAGTAATGGTATGTAGGGATAAGGCAGAGATTGGCACTAGATAACTGAGCCAGTGCAGTTGCAGTGTTCCAGGTAGCCTCGTTCTGCCTTGTAATGATTCTGAACGTGGCATTCTTAGCTCTAGCTGTATACTTCCCAGCTTGTCAGTATTAGGAGGGTGAAGATCTTGAGCCATTACATTAGAACCTCACTTTAAAGGGAGCTCATTGCACCTTCACCCCAACTCCAGAAATGTGTATGTGTTATCCCCTTCCAGTGAACTTAGCAGTCTTGTATTGTTAACTTTAAACAGTTACAGTGAGTGACACTCATGTTTGGAAACTATTGACTGTTCTGTGCTGTGGTGCTGCATTCGTGAGAGTGTGGGTTGGAGTTGCCAAATCCATTTTACTATGGAGGTTTATATCACCAGAAGGAGCTAACTTCTAACTGGCTCCCAGAAATGGAAGAATGACATGTTCACCCAGACTCTCTGTTGCTGAGAAAGGTACTGTTGGTAAAGTCTTTCATCCAAAATTCCTTTGTGCTGGAGCATTTGGTGTTTAAAGTACATCATCTGAAGTCACTACCAGTCAGACCTTTAAGAATGCTTGTAGTTGCATCCTGTTGATTTTTGACCTCCGGCAACATGTTATGCGGCCCAGGTTCTAATGTGCTGAATGTCAAGCTACTACCAAATCAGCTCAGAAGCAAACCAGTCAGTTCACAAAGTGTTTCAGTTTACTATGGCTTAGCTGATTGTACCTGTCCTCTGGGTGTTGTGCTGGTTTGACTGAATATTTTGTTGTGGACAGATCTCTGTATCACCGGGAAGCAGTGTAAGCACTTTGACTGCAGTGACTGGTTTGAGTAACAGCTCTGCTAATGAGACTGGATCATCAAGGTAGGCAATTGGTATTACTTACGCAAAAGTATAAGTGCCAATTTCAGAGTATATGTAATTCTGCTTAATTTCGTTAGTTTTAATTCTGTATTTATTTTCATTTCCACGTTAAATGCTGAGGAGGATTTGAACTGTCAGTCTGTCTTTCTTGCCATTTGTTTTTGCGATGATTGACAATGGTTATGATCACCATTGGGCCAGCTTTTATTCCAGACTTTTATTGAAGTCAAATTTCCCCATCTGCTGAGTGGGATTCGAGTTCATGTCCCCAGGACATTAAACTTGGATTCTATATTACTAGCCCTGAGACATTACGACTATGCTATCACCTGTCCATTAATAAATATAGCTTCCAGTATGTGCAAATGTGCGTGCTTCTAACCTAACTGACAATCCTAAATTGGTTGCCACCATAACTTGTTGCACACTCAGCATTATCTAGGCAATGTTGTCCAATTACAAAGGCAGATCTATTGCTGAACGTTGTTACAAGTTTTGCAAACACAGTTGGTTGGATGTGGTCATTACCTTGTTGAGAACAGCCATGGCGAGAAACTGTTTGATATGAACTTTGGACATATGCCTACATAACTGGCATTGCAGTGGTACTGAAATTCACCTGCAGATCATTTACTGATTTATGTGATAGCACATCTTTTTGGCTTGGCGACAATATCTGTCGCAGCGTGAACACCATTTATTTCTTACACAGTTGTGGGGCTGATGATAATCTGAGTTGAGTTTCCTTATTACTGTACTTAGAACTGATTACAACTGCATAGCTTTTTTATATTGGGGAATGAAGGAATTTTGAGGTAACTTAATAGGAGTTTTCAAAATAATGAATGGGATTGGTGAAATTGATCCTGAATTTCAGATTGGGTTAAAAAATTAGAGACATAATTTTAAGAATTGAGTAAAAAATTTGAAACCATCAGTACTGTAGTAGATATTGTTGAAGCAAATAATACCTGTTCTAAGAGACAATTGTAGATATTTTTGTATTAAGTAGAGAATTTCAGGGTTAATAAAACAATGCCAACTTTGGATGATGATTGACAATAAAATAGAAATATTGGTCCAAATGTTTCTTTGTCTCGGTCATGTTATTTTTGTTAATGGCCAAATTTTTACAGTATAAGGCTGATTCAGTTGGATATATTAACACTAAGTATGGTATTGTGTTATCAGTTGTGATATTCAGTGGCACTTGACCAGGCAAAAAACTATTCACCAATGCTTAATTTGGATTCTAGCAAGACCACTCAGTTCCAGATCTTGTTCTAGTGCATATCCAAGATGGACCAAAGAACTAAATTCAACAGATAACGGAGTCATAGAGGTAGATGTAAACAGGCCCATCAGCCCAAATCGTCCATGCTGACCAGGTTTCCTAAACTAAATTAGTCCCATTTGCCTGCATTTGGCCCATATCTGTCTTAAGCCTTTCCTTTCCGTGTACCTGTCCAAATGTCTCTTAAATGTTGTAATTGTACCTGCCTCTGCCACTTCCTCTGGCAGCTTGTTACACATATGCATTACCCTCTGTGTGAGAAAGTTGCCCCTCGGGTCTCTTTTTAAATCTTTCCCTTCTCATCGTAAAACTATCCCCTCTAGTTTTGGACTTTCCTACCATGGGGAAAAAGACCATGGTAGTTCACTTTATCAATGCCCCTCATGATTTTAAAAACCTCTATAAGGTCACCCCTCAGCCTCCTATGCTCCAGGGAAAAAGTACCAGCCTATCAAGCCTCCTTATAATTCAAACCTTCCAGTCTCTCTAACATTCTTGTAAATCTTTTTTGCACCCTTACCAATTTAATAACATCCTTCCTGTAGCAGGGTGACCAGAATCGTATGCAGTGCTCCAAATGTGGCCGTACCAATGTCTTGTACTACTGTAACCTGACATTCTGTATTCAGTGATCTGACCAATGAAGGCAAGTGTGCTAAATACAGTCTTCACCACGTTGTCTACCTATGATACCACTTTCAAGGAACTATGCACCTGGACCCCAGGTTTATCTACTTGACAACAGTCCCCAAGGCCCTACCATTAACTTTGTAAGTCCTATACTGTTTGTCTTATCAAAATGCTACACCTCACATTTATCTGAATTACATTCCCATCTGCCATTCCTTAGCCCAAAGGCCCAGTAGATCAAGATCCCATTGTATGCTTGGATAATCTTCTCCACTGTCCACTATACCACCAATTTTGGTGTCATCTGCAAACATTCTAACCATTCTTCCAAAATTCTCATCCAAATCTTTTACATACTTGATGAACATCAGTAGACCCAGCAGTGATCCTTGCGGCGCATTGCTGGTCACAGGCCTCAGTCTGGAAGCTAGGGAACTCGGGGAAGTAGATCCTCAAACTTCTGACTCCTTTTGTCAAACCAATTTTGTATCCGGTTGGTTAGTTCTCCCTCGATCCCATGTGACCTAACCTACTAACCAGTTGACAATGCAGTACCTTGTCGAAGGCCTTGCTTAAGTCCACATAGACAATAATGTCAAGTAATGCCCACATCTATCATCTTGGTCATTCCTTCAAAAACTGAATCAAATTTGAGAGAGAGAATTTCCCACAAAGAAAGCCATGCTGACTATCCCTAATCAATCCTTGCCTTTTTAAATGCATGCAGATCCTGTCTCTCAGAATCCCCTCAAACAACTTGCCCACCACTGCTGTTAGGCTCACTGGTCTGCAGTTCCTTGACTTTTTCTTGCAGCTTTTCTTAAATAATAGCACAACATTGGCCAACGTCCAGTCTACAGCACCTCACCCGTGGCTGTCAATGAAACGTCGGTCTGTGCTGGGGCCCTGCAATTTCTTCTGTACCTTCCGGCAATATAATGGGATTCACTTGATCAGGTTGTGGGACTTACCTACCTTTGTTTTAAAACCTCCAGCACCACCTCCTCTGTGGACTCTTTTCAAGACATCACTAATTACTTCCCTGAGTTCCTTAGCTTCCATGTCTTTCTCCACTGCTATAATGAACGTAGTAGCCTATATCACGGTGGTCATCTTGACAGGTCATGAGGCTATTCAACACGGTCAACCTTGTGCATTCTGAATGTAGCTCGTTAGGCCCTGCATAACTGTATTTAAAGAGACCTGGACACAGTATCTATAGCTATAGCGGAGCTAGATGCTCATAGAGGAAAACATCATTCCATTCACTGTAATAACTATTCAATGACTGCTGCAAGGAACATCACAGTGCAACTAATTGATGAAGGAGCTGTTTTACAGTCTACTTTTGTCCCTGCTTCCTAAGTCTCTCTCACATCTCCAAGTACATGATAAATATTTCAATCCTGTACCCATAGCAGAACATCATAAGTATGAAATTTCCTTGGTCCTGTGTCATTGCTGTCAGGTAGCTGTATGGTAGCTTGATGTTGGAATGTAACAACATTAGGAGGTAGAGTATTTAACCCCTTTGCCATTGAATTGTTATGGCTGATGTGCTTGACTTTGTGCTTTGTTCCACTTGGTTCAGTATCCTTGCATGATTAAAAAAAACTATTAATCTCCATTTTGATTTCATATTAAAAAAAAGGTGCCGTCAGGACACTATCTAAGGCAACAATTATTTGAATTATACACGCAGAGAACTAAATGAGTAATAACAGTGTATGAATGAGGGTAACTATACTTGACATTATGCATCACTTGACTAGTGTGATATTGTGGGGTCTTAATAAACTGAGGTCACCGGTTAGGAAAACTTCCTACTGATTAGAGTCATACCTAGTGCAAGTGAATTGTTATGGCTGATGGAGGCCAATCATCTCTGCTCCAGGACTGGCGTTCCTCAAGGTTGTGTCGGAAGTCCAAGTGTCTTCAACTGCATTATCAGTGATTTCATCATCACTCATCATAATGTCAGAAGTGCAGACATTTGCTGATTAAGCATGCTGTTCAATCCACTTGAAACTGTTCAGATACTGAAGTGGTCTGTTCAGCTTTCAGGTTTTGGGCTTTAAAGTGGCAAATAAAATTGATATAACACAAGTGCAGTCAATGACTGCTTCCAGTGAAAGAATCAAACCTTCTCCCTTTGACATTCAGTGAGATTGCCATTAATGAGTCTCCTATCATTACTGTACCAGAATTTAACATTGACCATTAAACTTAACTGGACCAAGTATGTCAGTACTGTGGCATGGTTTGACACAGTGGTAGTGTCCCTGCCCCTGAGCTGCAAGGCCTAGGTTCATGTCCTACCATCTGCTCTGAAATGTGTCATAACATGTCCGAACAGGTTGAGTAAAAAATATCTATAAATATTGTGGTGACAAAGAAAGATCAGAGGCTGGGAATTTTGACAACTGACAACTTATCCTCCAAATATTGTCCATCATTCATTCACTTCCTTAATCAGTCATTTGTTCTGTCACTGGTGTACAGTGGCAGAAGTGTGTACCATTCACAAGGTACAATGCAGCAATTTGCTAAAGCTCATTTGACAGCACATTTCAAACCCGTGACCTCTACCACCCAGAAAGACAGGTGCAGCAGAACATACAGGAACACCACCATCTGTGCATGCTACCCTGAGTTACAGTTTCCTGATTGGGAACTGTGTGGTTGTTCTTCCACTGTTGCTGAGTCAAAAGCTTGGAACTCCCCATATGACATAGTTTGGAAATACTTGTATTACATCAACTGCAGTGGTTCATGACGGTGGCTCACCACAGCTACCTTGAGTGTAGTTAGGATAAGCACTTCTTATGATCCATTTATGGGATGTGGGCGTTCCTGCCTGGCCAACTCTTATTCCTTCATCTCAACTCCCACCGCCTTCATTTCCTCCTTGTTGTGCATCTTGTCCACTTGGATGCCTGATTTCCTAAGACCAGATCCAGCATGTCCTCCCGAGTAGGACTGGAAATGTACTCTTCCAGAAAGCTCCCCTGCACACTTTTGCAGAAATTTCTCCCCTTCCATACCCCATTCTCAACCTTTTTTTTTTCCTCCAGTCTACCCTAGGGTAATTGAAATCACCAACTATCACAACACTACTCATCCCGCAGATTTTTGTAATCTGCCTAGAGATGCTCTCTTCCACATCCTCCCCACTTTCTGGAGGTCTATAACAAATACTTAAGAAGATCACTGCTCCATTCCAGTTTTTCTCACCTCTAACTATATAGATTTTAATTCAGGAACAGTATTTCATTCAAGGGCAATAATATTCTTTGACGAAGACTGTTACACCTCTTCCTGTCTTACCCACCCTGTTTCTGCTAAAAGTCTTTTAACCTGGGATATTCATTCCTGTGCTGGCTTGAGCCATGTTTCTGTCAGTGCTGCTATTGTCATATCCCTCAGACCAATTTCTGCTTCTTGTTCCCCAGTTTTGTGAACTGTACTCTGTGCATTTACATGTGCACAATTTAATCCTGCCCTTATCTTAGCAATGGAAGGTGATCATTGTCAATACTGAAGCCTTCCCTCATCATCTTTGCCCTACTCACTATCTTTTGTCTTTTGCACTCTCTGATACTTCCAAAACTTGGCCCATTTGTCAACCCACCTCAACTGTCCATCCATCCATCCATTCTGCCCTGCCCTGCCCCCAACGCACGCACGCCACCCTCTCAACTAGGAGATTAGTTCCGTTTTTGCTCAGGTGAAGCCTGTCTCTTCAGAACAGCTTTCTCCTTTCCCGAAAATGATCTGTGTCTCAAAATTCTAAACTCCTTCTTTCTACACCACCTCTCAAGCCACACATTTACTTCCTTGATCTGTCTTTGTCTAAATGATGAAGCTTGTGGCACAAGTAGTATTACTGAGATTGCTACCTTGGAGGTCCTGCATTTCAACCTACTTCCTAACTCCTGAAATTGATCCTGCAAGACCTCCAAGTTGTCCCTCCCTATGTTGTTGGTTTCCACGTGAATCACCACCACTGATTGTTCATCCTCCCTTTCAAGATGTTTATCCAGTTGTTGCGTTATGTCCTAAACCTTTGCACCAGGGAGACAACAGACTCGACAGGCCTCGCGATCTCGGCTGCAAACTAGACTGTCTATCCCTTGAACTATTGAGTCACGCACTGCTACTACCTTGCTAATCTGCCTACCAGCTTCTCTCTCTCTTCCCAGAATAGCCTCAGGCACTATGATAGTGTGGTTTTCCCTCAAGTTATCCATCACTGACTCAGTCATATTGCTCACTAAACAGGCACCTAAAATTTCGTACCTGTTAGACAGCTTCAAGAAGTCCTGGGTTTTCTGGACCTCCGTCATCTTTCCTTTTGGCAAATGGTCAATCACTCATCTGCCATCTCTATACTCCTTGCCTGCCTCTCGTACTGTAGAGTGACCACTCTTTGGTGTGACTGATCGAGAAACCTCGCTCCTCTTTGTGCGGCGTGTAGTCAGGAGAGTCACTGCTCCAAATCAGCTACATGTTGTTGAAGGACTCTAGCTCTTCATGCAGATGTGACTGTCCTGGATGTCTTGCGGATCCAAAACTACCTGTATTTTATATGCCTCAAACATCACAAGCTTTCCCAGAGCCCTGCCGTCTTTACTGGTCAAGCTGATGCACGCTGCTGAGGTTCTGCTGTTTCTAAGCTGCAAACAATTTTCTAACAGCCTTGCTGTCTCGTGGTTTAAGGAGGAGGAATCGACTAGTACATTTTCAATATCCATTTGAAAATCCATCTACGTTATATCTAATCCCAACAGGTTTTTCTAAATTTTTTCTTTCATGAGATGTGGGTCTCATCGACCTGGTCAGCATTCGTTGCTCATCCCTAATTTCCACTTAATTGAATGGCTTCCCAGGCTATTTCAGAGAGGCTGTTAAGAGTCAACCACATTGCTGTGCATCTGGAGTCACATATATGTCAGACCAGTAAGACAGCCTGATTTCCGTCCCTAAAGGATATTTGTGAAGGAGATGAATTCTACAACTATTGATGATTGTTCTCATGGTATCGATGCTGAGACCAGTTTTATATTCCAGATTTATTAATTGAATTTAAATTCCTTTGCTTCTATTGTGGATTTATGGTGGATTTTGAATCCGTGTTCCCAGGATATTTGTCTGGGCCTCTAGGTTAGTAATCCAGTGACATCACAGTATGCCACCATCTCACCGAAATTTAAATATATGACATTAGTGATTGCAAGAATATGCATGCCATGGTTCCTTAGGTTTACTGCTTATTTAAAGTTGTCAAGATGTTAACAATACTTCTAAATTTTCAGTCAGTGATTATAATGTGCAGAGTCAAGAGACTTTATGCAGACTAGAAGGAAGGGTGCAAATGTGCACTGAAATAATCTAAAATGTATTTGTTAGAGATCCCCTTGAAATGTTGGTGAAATGTATTTATCAGTTGCTTTCTAGAGGAGAAAAATATTTTGGCTACTTCAGACTGGTAGTAGAAATGAATTTGTACCTTGCAAATCTGACTTGTGTAGATAAATCTTTGTATAGGTGCTGCAGTTCTTTATCTTAGTTTCCATCTGTTTAGAGGACAACTTCTCTTATATTTGAATACGTAAACCATCGCAAATGAATGTTTGCATTTTTTATGAAATATCCATACAATTTTACATTAGCTCATAAATTATATTCACAATTTGTGCTGTATTCAGATCTAATTTGTTTTTCAGTTTCCTTAGTGTGGCTATTTTGCTTGACCTGATCACTTTAAGATTGCTGTATGGTAGTGCACATATGCATCTTTATGGTGGTATTTTATATGCATAACCTCTTTATTGAACAGTGGGGTATGTTCAGATTCCTATGCAGTGGTTCTTTTGCACAGTTTAGAGGGAATGTTGTTTAGATCTACTGTTCAAAGTTAAATGTCGTACCATTTTTCAATAAATTGTTACTGTTTGTATTAACAACAATTTGTAAACCAAGAATAAATACTAACGGCAAATAATTGAAAATGTTATGTCTATATCAGTGAGAGGCCCTGGCCCTGAAAAGCACATTTTGCATACCAGCAGCCCTCACTTCAAGTTCTGGTTCTGTCCTCATGACTGGAATCAATGTTAAAGCTGGAGTTAGGTTCCTTTGGTTTTTCCAGGCAAGCAAATACCCAGTGTGCAAGTTGAAAGTCTGTATTGTCTGTGTGCAGAACTTGCAAAATAGAATACGTTAGTAATTATCTAAGAAATTCAGTGCAGCATACAATATTTTGGGAAACATTTCACTCGTCTGTATTTTTAGACTGATAGACCCTGTGTGCTAACAGAAGTTGATTGCAGCAGAGCTGAGACTCTACTACTGCACTAACTAATGCCGTCCATGAGATGGAGCCGTTTAGTGCCAGTTCAGAACAGAAACCAAGGGAATGGAGTACTTGAAAACTGATCTCGGGTCTCTGATCTAAAGTTTCTCTAAGATCTCCCAATGTAGTGCCAACTGATATCATTATGACTCTGGCACATGATGACGCACAACAATGTTAAAATAGAAATTATGTAATTTGAAGTAAAGGGCTGTTCAAGTAAATTTATATTCAAAACAAAATTACATTAACTGGTAACATAAAGTAATAGCTGTGAAAAATTGAATTTCATCTTTGTGATGATTCTACATGTTTTCAATGTTTTTCACATGTTTGATGTTTTGCCTTTACCTTAATGCCTCTTATATGTCCCAATGGTTCTTCCACTCTGAAAAATTAAAAACATGAAGGATATTTCTGTTTGTTACTTCCTGGTTTACTGTCTGAGAGAATTCTGCAATGTGATTAGCAGCTTAGCCTCCTTGACAATGTCACTGGCTAGCCACCAGTGATTTCCTAAACCCAATTGATGTGCTATGAAATTAACAAATTTTGCGGATTTGTCTTGGATACGTTTGTGTGTAGAATTCTTCGAGATCAATAGTGAGAACTATATTTTCTGCCCTGGCAGTTAAATTTGGGCCTTTGAATTATTTCAGGCACAGTGGAACTAAGATTTTTTTCGTGCTTTTACTTTTCTTGATTTAAACCTGTAGTTAACAAAGAACCTAATCGTTTCCTCAAATTTGTAATTCTCAGAAATTTTCTTTTGGACCCAAACTTACAAGGCATTGGTCAAAGTCTGATATCGTAAAGATTTTCTTGTAATTGTGCACATTTTAAAATTAGAACTTTCTAATGTAAATGATTTGAAATATGTTAACAAGATTTTTGGAATTTGCTTTGGCAGTTAGACTGTCAGACCCCAGAATCTGTCATACTAATTTAGCTCTTTTGCACTTTCATTTTAGACCTGCTGAAGACTTGTCTCTAAGCCCAAAGGTCACATTGGAGAATGTCAGTCTCAGTAATAACACAAGCAATGCTGTCCAAGCGAGTCCAAGAAACAACTCTGTGCAACTTATCCCAGGGCTGTCTGAACAGCTATCTACAAAACCTCTTCAGGTATGCTTATTACTGCAAAAGCTCTTTTTTTTTTTTAAAGAAAAATGTTATTGCTCTTTATTGATCCTCATTGAAGTAAAACCTTTTTTTGGCTATTGATGTGTGGGGTGTGCAAATGTTGTAAAGCAGAACTTGGAACTCAAACTGCCATACAGATACTATATCAAGAGTAAAAAGGTAAGAAAGTATATATGTGGAAAATTGCATAAAAGTGAAAAGTTAAATTTTGCATTATCAGAGTAGTTTCCATGGTGACAGCAATATGTTTCTGTCTGTACCTTGTGCTAATAGAAGCAAATGTTAAGATTCTTGACTTAATGGACTGAAATATCACTGACTGTTGAGCTAAAAGGGCAGTGTGGACAAAAGTGGTCACCTTGTAATTTACACCCATCACTATACTTGTAGTTGCACAAATCCTCAGGAAATTCTGTTTTTCTCTAATTCTCACCCACTTGTTTCTTTTGCCTCATTATTGACAGCCTAGCCTTCAGCCATTGAAGCTTGAACCCAGAAATTTCCTGTCTCCTTTTAGATTGTCCTTTAACTCTTCCGCTTTGACTTTAGCTACTTTTTCTAAAATTATCTGTTGCATCGCTATAAATGTGTGCTGTTGTACAAATTGTTGCTGTTACATTTGCCTTTGTGGTAATCTCTTAACATTTAGTACTACCGGCTTTCTAGATGGATTTGTTTGGGACAACTCCTTGTCTAATTCATTCTGTACAGGAAGAAAAGGTGTCCATAACTATATTTTGGTATTTTACTGAGGGCGCAGGTATCAACCTTTGCTGTCATTATTGCATAAAACTGACTATAACTTAGCTTTTTAAAGAAGTAACAAAGAGGATTGAGGGAAGAGCAATGGATGTGATCTATATGGACTTCAATAATGTGTGCGACAAGGTTCCTCATAGTAGACTGGTTAGCAAGGTTAAATCACTTGGAATACAGGGAGAATTAGCTAGCTGGATGCAGAACTGCATCAAAGGTAGAAGACAGGGTGGTGGTGGAGGGTTGCTTTTCAGACTGGAGGTATGTGACCAGTGGTGTCCACAGGGGTCGGTGCCTGGGTCCACTGCTTTTTGTCATTTATATAAATGATTTGGATGTGAACATAGTGGGTATGGCTGGTAAATTTGCAGGTGTCACCAAAATTGAAGCTGTAGTGGACTGTGAAGAAGGTTACCGCAGAGTACAAAGAGATCTTGATCAGATGGGCTACTGGACCGAGGAGTGGTAGATGGAGTTTAATTTAGATAAATGTGAGGTGCTGCATTTTGGAAAGGCAAACCAGGGCTGGACTTGTACACTTTGTGGTAAGGTCCTAGAGAATGTCACTGAGCACAGAGTCCTTGGAGTACAGGTTCATAGTTCCTTGAAAGTGGAATCATAGGTAGATGGGATAGTGAAGGCAGCATTTGGTATGCTTGCCTTTATTGGTCAGTGCATTGAATGTAGGAGTTGGGAGGTCATGTTGCAGCTGTACAGAACATTGGTTAGGCCACTATTGGAATACTCTGTACAATTGTGGTCTCCCTGCTATAGGAAGGATGCTGTGAAACTTGAAAGGGTTCAGAAAAGATTTACAAGAATTTTGCCAGGGTTGGAGGGTTTGAACTATACGGAGAGGCTGAATAGCCCTGATCTAGTTTCCCAAGAGCGTCGAAGGCTGAGGGCTGACCTTATAGAGGTTTATTAAGTCATTAGGAGCATGGATAGGGTAAATAGACAAAGTCTTTTCTTTGGGGTGAGGGAGTCGAAAAGTAGAGAGCATTGGTTTAAGGTGAGAGGGGAAAACATATAAAAGGGATCTAAGGGACACCTTTTTCACGCAGAGGATGGTGTGTGTATGGGATGAGCTGCCAGAGGAAGCGTTGGAGGCTGGTACAGTTACAACATTTAAAAGGCATCTGGGTGGATAAATGAATAGGAAGGATTTAGAGGGATAGGGGCTAAATGCTGGCAAATGGGACTAGATTAATCTAGGATATCTGGTTGGCATTGATGAGTTGGACCGAAAGGTCTGTTTTCGTGTTGTACATCTCTATGATTCTTAAGTGCAGAGTTAAATGTGGAAACTTTGATATTTCTGGCATTGATGCCTTTCTCCTCCATGGGGGGGTGCACTGATGTATATATCATATCCGTAACAATCATATAATCCCAAAGGTGCGCAAAGAGGCTAATTGGCTCATCAGGTTTGTGCCAATCCTCCAAAGAGCATCCATCTAACCTGTATATCTTTTGTGGTCTTGGCCGCTGGTATAATATGGACTACAACTTTTTGTGCTCCATTCTTCATGTAACGATTGAAGAATCTAAACCTCATTTAGATTAGGTGTAAGTTTGTGTTGAACAACCTATCCAATCCTGCAAAATAAATTTAGAAGCCTAGCGTTTCATTGTTTTCACTTTATGATAATTCTGTACAATGTTTTTTGTTTAAGATTTCAACTTCTACAGTAATTCCATGTTTATGTCTTAACTTTTGCTTTCGTCTCTAAAAGATTAAAAGGTGAAGGATAACTGGAAGCAACTGGCTTGTTGCTTTCTGGTTTGCTGTCCATGAAAATTTGTGAACCCAACTGGTTGCTCAGCTTGCATAATGACTTCACTGTTCCTGGATGCCAAGGATCGGATATGACAAAGTTGACTTTCTCTTAACAGAGCAATGATGCCACACAGCCTGCTAAATCTTTGTGGACGTCATTCTTTGCAGTCAGAAGCTTGTGCTGACCCTTCACAGCTGATTAAAATCTAGATAATTTTACCTTGGGCCTTGAGTTTCCCAGCTCTTCAAATATAGTAAACTACTTTGAAATGTATTGATTTATATAGGGAAAGTTGGCACCGAGCCCCTTTGTGTACAAATAACATTAAGCTGAATAATTTTTCGTGGCATTAGTTGAAGGGAAATGTTATCCAGGATACTGGAAAGCATTCCTTGATCAATGCACAGTGCCATGTCATTGTTCATTTGAATGGCAGATGATCACTCATTTTAATATATTATCTGAAGGATGATATCTTTTAATAGTGCCACACTCCTTTGCTTACGGCACAGAAGTATCAACTTAGGTTATGCAGTGAAGTTTTGAGGCAGAGTTTAAACTTGCAGCTTGGTTACAAGCATGGTTTCACAACCAACTTCAGTCTAAGTAGAACTGGATAACATTGAACTAAGATTTTTTTTTTATTGGTATTTAATTTGAATGTAACTGATATTTTACCCTCTTCTATCAGGTTACTAGTGCTAACTCTTCGCTTCCTTTGGAGCTTCAGTCTGTGGATCCTCTCTGTGTGCCTCAGAGTTCCCCAACGCGGGAACGTTCTCCTGATGTTATCTCCTCAGCCTCCACAGCATTGTCGCAGGACATTCCTGAAATTGCCTCAGAGACCCTCCAACGTGCATTTTCAGGCTCTGTATTACCCACTGAAGTCCTGGAACCTACCCATCATATGGATAGCATGGCTTCAGCTGCCTCTGCACTGCATCTGTTATCCCCAAGAAGTAGACCTAACTCTGAACATAGTCATCACTCTCTAGATATGCCTCAGGTGGAGGTAGAGCGGCTGAGTACTCCATCACTCTTAGAAACTGTCTTGTCTCAGGAGAATACAGCAGCAGCAGACAACGTTGTTAGCCAACCTTGGCCAGCAGCGCCTGACATAACCCGAGAAACCCGTAATAGCATCAATGAGAGGTATGATCAAATATTTTGTTTTATGTGTAAATCAATTAACGTGTTAGCTATTTAAAAGAAGCCATCTGATCAAGTTTGCATCCAGGTTTGTTTCTCTGCTTCACTTTCTTCTGCAATTTTGCTGTTTTAATGGTTTATGCAATGGAGCATTTCTTGGATGGGACTTGAAAAGTAGTTTTTTTTGGCTGTCTGCAAGTCCAGTTTTAGCAAATCTAATTTAACTATGCCTGACCAATATTCAGTTTTAAGGCATTCAGTGGGGGCAAGTGTTGGCTCCTGCTTTTTGCTAAGTTTGTATTTTTTTTTTGCAAACTAAACTGGATTGGGAGATAGTCATCTGAGATAAGGCAAATGTAATCCCCTTAATCCCCTTCCCTTAGCACTATAAAGGAAAAATTATTAGTAATACTTATCGTTACAAATTCTGAAAGATGATGAACATTGGCTGCAAAAAACATTATCTTGCCTGGGAGACTTCACGTTCCATTACTTAACTAGCAAATATGAAGTTATTCACTTTGTTCATAAGAATAGAGAGATTGAAACTTCCAAATGTTTATGTCCAATGAGACTTGAGTGTGCTTGATAAGAAATGCAAAAAGTTAGCATGCAAGTATAGCAAACAATTGGATAGGCAAATGGCATATTTGCCTTTATTGCAGAGAGATTGAGGTACAGGAATAAAGAATAGTTGTTAGGCTCTGATGAGAAACATCTGGAACACTATGCAGGTTAGTTCCCAAATTTAAGGAAGAATATGTATAGATTGGAGGTATTGTAGCAATGGTTCATTAAATTTGTGCCTTGAATGAGCTGGTTTTCCTGTGATGTGTGATTGACTGACTAAATTGGGTTTTTCTTCTGTAGTGTTTAGAAAAATGAGAAGCAATCTCATTGGAAAGATGCTGACAGATTGTGCACTGGGAATCTAAATATGGGATCTTATGATAAGAGACTGATCATTAGCACTGAGATAAGAAATTGCTACATGCAAAGGCTTGTGAGTCTTAGGAATTTTCTACATCAATATGAAGTGTATATGTGACAATACAAGTTAGGAGTAGGATTTTTGGCCCCTTAAGTCTGCACTGCCATTTAAGATCTTTTGCCTCAACTCTGCTTTGGTGTCTACCCCTTTACCCTTTGATTCCATCTGAAATATGTTCACTGTTTTCTATGGAAGAGAATTTCACAAACCAAAGACCCCGTCAACCAAAAAGTAGAAACCCAACTTGTTCAACCATTCCTTATAAGATAGTTCATTCATCCCAGGAAGTCATGAACGAACCTGTTCTGCAGTGCTTCCAAAGCTATTATAGCATTTCTCAAACAAGGAGACCAAACTTTTGCACGTACTCTGGATGTGGTCACACCAGCTCCCTACACAATTGCAGCAAAGCTTCCCTACTTCCTTTGCTCGAAACCTTGTTTCATTTACCTTCTTTACTCACTTGCTTTACCTGCATACTAAAATTTTGTATTTTATGTGCAAGAGCACTCTGATCTGATTGTACTTCAGAGTGCTGTAGTCTTTCTCCATTTAAACAATATATGGCTTTTCTGGTCTTAACCTAGCAGGTGATTTTATATTGTCCCATATTTCTTGTTTGCTAATTATTTTCCCACTCACTTAACCCATCTAAATCCCTTTCTAAACTCTTTGTCCTGTTCACAATTTTATTAACTATTTCTGTGTCAACTGCACATGTGGCAACCATATATTTGGTTGCATCATGGAAGTCATGTGTAAGGATTATAAATAATTCAGGTTCCACCATCGATCCTGTGGCATTCCATTGGTTAGAAGTTGCCAGCCGGAAAATAACTTAACCCTTCTGTTGGCTTCCTGTAGCTAACCAATCCTCAAGCCATATTAATATAGTAGCCCCCCATACATGAGCTCTTTTTGCATAGTAATGTCTCATAGGGCACCTAATTAAACACCACCTAAAAATCAAAGTGCACCACATCTCCAGGTTCTGTTTATCCACATTACTTGTTGTTTCCTCAAAGAACTCTTAAGTTCGTCAAATATGATTTTCCTTTCTCAAAGCAATGTTGATTCTACATAATTAGATTTCTGTATCTTGCTATAACTTCCCTTAATAGATTATAGCAATTTCCCTATGGACAGATGTTCAGCTTACAGACTTGTACTAGCACAAAGGAAGATGGTAATGGGTGTTGGAGGTCAGGGAAGCAGCACGGTGGCTTAGTGGTTAGCACTGCTGTCTCTCAACGACATGGATCAGGGTTCAATTCCATCCTCAGGTGATGTCTGTGTGGAATTTGCATGTTCTTCCTGTGTCTGCATGGGTTTCTCCCGAGTGTTCCTGCAGAGTCCAAAGATGTACAGGTTGGGTACGTTGACCATGTTAAATTGCCCTGGCGTGTCCAATAATTTATAGGTTAGGTGGATTAGCCATGGGAAATGCAGGGTTACAGAGATAAGATGGGGCTGTGCTGAGGCTGGGCATGTGTGGGAGGCTCTTCGGAGGGTTAGCGCAGAATCGATGGGCCGAACATCCTCTTTCCACACTGTAGGGATTCTCTGATTCTATGAATCATCTCGGCTTCGGATATCACTGCAGAAGTTCTTCACGATTGTGTCCAAGGTCCAACCACCTTCAGCTTCTTCCTCAATGACTTTCCCTCCATCATAAGGTCAGAAGTGATGATGTTTGCTGATGATTGCACAATGTTTGGCACTATTCGCTGTACCTCAGATACTGAGCGGTCTGTGTCCAGAAGCAGTGATACCTGATCAACATGCAGACTTGGACTGCTGAGTGGCAGGTAACATTGGTGCCACACCATGACTATCTCCAACAAGAGAGAATCTAGCCATTGCCCCTGATGTTCAGTGGTTTTACTGTCACTGGCTCCCTTATTATGAATATCAGGGGGTTACCATTGACCAGAAACAAAATTGTATCAGCCATATCGTACCATCAGCTGTTGCAAGAGCAGGTCAAAGGCTAGAAATTCAGTGGCGTGTAGCTCATCTCCTGTCTCCTTGGTGCTTCACCACATCTACAAAATGCAAGTTAGGAGTGTCCACTGCAGGGTCAGTATAACACACAATCTTGAAATAACAAAATATATCAGTCCCAGGCCTAGGTCACCCCTTTTACTCTCCTCTAGCATGGCGTAAATGCTTTTAAAATCTGCTTAGAGGCAGAAAAATCTAGCTTTTGTGCATTGTCATATGAACATAGTATGTTGATTATAATTGGCAACGATTGGATTGAATGTGAAAGTTGTTAGAAACTGAAGATTTGGCTTTGGCCACAATTAACTGAATGGTTTGTCTTTCAGTAAATTTTCAGTTTCAACGTAGTATATTTCACAAATAGAATGTGAAATAGCATCTTTTGTTTGATAAGGATGTGGCAGAAGTGCATTTCAGCGTTTATTCTAGTTCATGATTTAGGTGCGCAAAATCTAAACTAAATGAAATAATCGTTCACAAAAAAAGTTATTACCTTTTCATCAAAGAAAATAAACCGATGAAATTGTGTAACTGAAGAATATATTCTAATATTGAAGTTAATTATTCAAGCGCATTCAGAATAAATTACACGCTGTTTAAGGTTTTCGCAGGGCTGAATTCTATAATTTCATTGAATGATCTGAACTATTGCCTCTGGAAGACTGTTTGCTTTTAATTGCTGAAATAGACTCTTGCAAAAGTTTGTTTACTGTTGTTTTGCTTTTAAGTTCCAGAGAAGATATGCAGGAGAAGCATAAAAACTCCACCTTTCACCGGCATCCATACCAGTTGCACCAGCATGATAGCCAGGATGCGAGTGCTGAACAGAGGTAATGCATAACCCCTGTTGAGAATCCGTAAAAACATTGTGACCTACTAACTTATCGAATAAAATCCATAATTTGTATTCCATGAAGAACGAGTTTAAGTACCAGACCTACTTGTCAGCCAATCATGCCACATTTACTAAATAGTGTTGGTGGAGTGGAGGGAGAATTTGGACAGAGGGGCAGTAGCTATTGCTTGACCAGGAAAGTAAATAAATAACGGTGTGAGGAAATAAGCTCATAGAAATTTAATTAACTTAGTAGAATCTTAGTATATTATTGACTGCCAATAAAAACAAACAGAATAGCTATTCAAATGGAATGGTTGTGCTTCTAGTTTAAAAATAGGGTTAAAATAATGGGAAGCAGGAATAATAAAACATGGTGCATTTCCTTGAAATTCATACGCTATTTTCTTTATTATTGCAGTGACCATGATGATGAAGTAGCAAGTCTTGCTTCCACATCATGTAGCTTTGGTTCAAAGTCTGCTTCTCATAGACTTCCAGTTAAAGATTGGAAATCAAAGTCATCTCCTCGATCCTCCCCAAAACTGAGAAGAAAGAGTAAAAAGGATGATGGGTAAGAATTTTTCTATTTACCCAATTATGAATGTATGCAGCAAGACCTGGAAAACATTCAGGTTTGGGCTCATAAGTTGGCAGGTAACATTCCTGATATGAGTGCTAGGCAATGACCATCATTCTGTGACATTCAATTGTATTATCATGACTATGTCTTCCCACTATCAACATCCTGGGTGTTACCATTGACCAGAAACTGAACTGGACCAGCCCATAGAAGAGGATCATTTTATTAAAAAAGTGATTAATTTAAATCGAAGAGAGTTGGGTGGGGAAATGAGAGGATAAAATAGAAAGAAGGAAGAGGGTCTGGAAAGGAAGTTGGTCAAGGAAGGAGGTATTGAGACATACTGTGGCTGCAAGAGAAGGCTGGAAGTTTTGCAGTTTGTAACTCATCACCTGTATCTATAATGCTTGTCCATCAAGGCCCATGAGAGCAATGTGATTGGATTGTTTCGTGGATGAGGCCATCAATGCACCTTTGCTAGCATCTTCCAGAGTCGGGGCCTCCATTGCATAGGAGGACAAACGAGCAGATGTGTGAGAATGCCAAACCAACCACACATCTGAAAAGCCATCTAACCTGACATGGAACTAAAGTGCAGTTCCTTCCTAGCTACTGGATCAAAATCCAGAAACTTATTCCCTAAAAGTGTCAATGTGTGCTGCAGTGGTTCAAGAAGGTGCGTTATCACCATGGTAATTCGAGAACAATAAATACTAGCCTAACTAGCAATGGCCATGTCCCACAAAAGAGTCTTAAGAAAATGTCGTTGCAAGCAGCATAAAACGAACTTGTTGCTGTGGTTAATACTTGCTAACATTCTAATAGTTATTGCCAAAACGTAAAGTGTATTCTCATGACAAATCACATCCAATAACCTACCCTTAACCTCCAATGCCAAAAGTTAAAAATCACAACTTATGGTTTATCAAAGAGCATTTAGTAAAAGCAAAATACTGTGGATGCTGGAAATCTGAAGCAAACACAGAGAAGGCTAGATAAATTTAGCAGGTCAGACAGTATCTGTAGAGACAGAAACAGAGCTCATGCTTCAACTCTGGTATGGCTCCTCTTCAAAGTAGATTAAGTATAGTGGGTTTGCAAATAAATCATGATATTCCAGTCATTGTGAGATGGAGACAATGCACAAATAAATTGGCAACATAGCAACATGAATAACTTCAACTATGCAGATTTACTTTCATTGCTTCCAGCATTGATAGCATACCTCTGTCTAACACTGATATTGAATTATTAGAGTGCACTGTCACTCATGTTCGTGGCCAATAATGTACTTTGAAGAATGATCACTATTGTAATGCGGGGAAACATACCAGCCATTGTGCACCATGTCCCACAAGCAGTGAAAAGATAAAATGTAATCTGTTTACTAGCATTAGATGAAGGAAAAATATTGATCAAGATGGTGTAAGTACTCCCCATGTTGTCCTTGAATATTGTCATGGAATCTTCTGCATCCACCTGAAATGAAAGATGAACCTGTGTTTAATCTGAAAAATGAAAGCTCTGACAGTGCAGCACATCTTCAGTTCTGCACCAAAATGTGAACCTAAATTTATGTGCGCACATTTCTGGTTGGGGCACTTCAGCTGAATCATAGAATCCCTAGAGTGTGAAAGCAGGCCATTCAACTCATTGGCTCCACACCGACCATCCGAACATCATCCCACCCATCCCTGTAACCCTACATTTCCCATGGCTAACCCACCTAGCCTGTACATCACTGGACATTATGGCATTTTAGCATGGCCAATCCACCTAACCTGCACATCTTTGGACTGTGGGAAGAAACCAGAGCACCCACAGGAAACCCAAGCAGACACGGGGAAAACGTTTGTGTGGAGTTTGCACAGTTGCCCAAGGGTGGAATTGAGCCTGGGTCCCTGGTGCTGTGAGGCAGCAGTGCTAACCACTGAGCCACCGTGCCACCCTAAACTTGAGTCTGAGTCAATGGCTCACAGATGTTACCAACAGTTGTTAGTGCCTTTTCCACTGTTTCATATCGAATGTCATGCTATGTAAATATTAACTAGTTCTGGGTCAGAATGACCCTCAATTACGTATTTCTATTCATTATAGTGCTTTCCTAGGAAATATGATTTTTAAATACAATAGCAAAATGTTAAAATTACCTAATTATTTACATGGCCTGTTTTTGTTAAAAAGGGGAAAATCTGCATTTCATTTTGTGACTCACCAGCTGAGTCACATGGCCAGATTGTTTCTTTGTTCTGGGAGCCAACCTCAGCTGGTGTGCACATTTGGTACTAAACTGGTCTCAATGCTTCCCTTTCCTGACGACTATCCACGGAATCCTGTTGTAAAATAGATGACTGCAGATGTTTGTTGGGAATAGGATCAAATTGACTCTTTGATGTTGTCTGTTCAAAATCGCACACAAACTTTCCATGTTGAACTTACGCTACTGATTGATGGCACATTTTGGGTTAATTGTCTCTTATAAGGATTTGAGCTAATAAGTTTTAAAACATTTCAAATGTAATGTAATCTTATTTTTGTTTGTTTGCTTTGTTCAGGGAGACAACACAATCCCCACGGTTAGAGCAGCAGGTTAGTACATGCAGAAATTTCTAATATGTATAGTTTCCATCTAATTGATATTTTTGCACTTAATGAATATCCAATAACTTAAAGTAAGCAAAATGCACAAAATGTAAATTCATTGCTTAAAGAAGTTGGATTAAATTACTTTTGAGTTCATCAGCTATGAATTAGGAATTTAAAACCTTCGGAATTATTAAATCTGGTTTCGTCAAGCATTTGTTCACAGGAGGAGCTGAGATTTCAGGAGTTCACTTGACCTGATGAAAATTTGTAGTTTGGCAGTTTTTAGGAATAAAGGATTTACACCTGACAATTCAACAATATTTAGTTCAAACTGAAATGTTAACAAATCTTGGTTTGAGTGTACAAATTAACAGCCTCTCTATTCTGCTTTGCCATTCAACAAGGTCACGGCTGATCTAACTGCCGACCTCAACTCTGCATTCTTGTCTACCCCCGATAACCGTTGACTTTTCTGTAGTTGATCTCTCTGTGTCTACCTTACATGATCCTGCTTCCATTGCTTCTGGGGAATGAGAGCTTCAAATATTTGTGTCACCGAGAGAAACAAATACCTCCTTATTTCCATCTTAAATGGGAGACACCTTAAATTTTTTTCCATAGTCCTTCCACAAGGAAACGCATCCAACCTTACAAATTCTTTTAAGATTTTTATTATTTCAGGAAAATCGTCTTTCAACTAACTACATTCTGCAAACTTGGCCGCTCCCCTCTAAATCAACCACTATTTTAATAAGAAGAATATAAGAGACTGATTATAAATCTGAAGTTTGCGACTGGTGCCAGAATGTAGTTAATTGAATACCTTTCAGTGGGAATTTAAAGAAAAAAATAAATGATATTAATTTTTTTCAGTTGATGTTTGTGTTGGATTATCAAATAGCGATCTTAAGATGAATAGGCTTTTTACATTCGCTGAGAGGGAGAAGTAATTTTACACATTGGCCGAAGAAGTTAGATATTCTGATATCTATTGTATATTAGTTGAGATGTCACCATTCTGTTGTACTTCCACTGAGCTTTCCAACATGATATAGCCTGGTGGATGGATGAGTGACATGACCTGACTTGTTTAGTGAATAGCAGACCAAAGTATTTCCACACAGGAACAATACAAAGTATAATAGAGTACCTTACTTTTACCTCCTTTTCACACATTTTAAACGTTGCTAAAAGATGACAAGAATTTGAAGCTAAAAACCCAAAGAACTCCAGATGCTGGAAATCAGAAACAAAAAAAGAAATTGCCGGAAACGCCCAGCAGGACTGGCAGCATCTGTGGAGTGAAAGCAGAGTCGATATTTTGGGTCCTGTGACCTTGAAGGATCTTAAGAAGAGTCAATGGACCTGAAACATTAACTCTGCTTTCTCTCTGCAGGTGCTGCCAGACCTGCTGATTTTTTTTCCAGCAATTTCGTCTTGCACTCAGAAGCTTCATCCTGTCTCCTTTTAGCAATGTTCTAAGTTCTGTGCAAGCAAGTCATTAAATTTTAAACAAATTTTAACCTCTGTGAATTTGATGTAAATTGTCTGTAGTCTGAACCATTCTTAATGTCTCCAGTTTTCACTATTTCTCATCCAGAAAGAATAGGGACCCCACTACTTTCCTTCTTGCTTTACAGAAGAGTCTTCAGACCTGCTTCCCTGACCGAGACCAACTGATAGCTCACTGGCTGATCCGCGTGGCTACTCACTAGAGTCTTTGATGGAGTTTAATTATTGTTCTTTGTGTACTCCTACTAAACCCTGCCTTCATACAAAATAGTTGCACCTGAAGAAGAGCACTTCAGCATCTCCATTACATAAATAACATGTAATTCAATCCATGTCTAATTTAATCGTTCTTTCAAAAATGAATCCCCTCTTAAGATTTAATTTGTTTCGTCAGCAGCAGTTCAACACAGACCAGGAAGAGTTACTGTCTCTGTTACGGAGCCAACAGAGAGAGCTCTGTGAATTGCGACAGAGCCAATTGGAGCTAATGCAGAGGCTCACAGATCATATGGATGCAGTGCAGGGCTCCATCATGGGTCATGTGGAACGGATTATGGTCACACAACAAGAACAAGAACGTATCCTTTTGTCCTACCTAGTGGCGCACGGTTCTTTAGCTTAACAAAATGAGTCTTATTTGCCCTCTTTGAGAGGCTTTTAAGAAGTAAACACATTTAATAACATTCTAATTATTGGTGTGATATAATGAATGCGTTAACATAGTGTAAAATAAAGTCTTCAATTAAATGATTCCATCCACCGAAAACAGTGTATTGCCAACAATAATAGATTGAGTCCTCTCCGCAAGAATGATTTAAGTCACAAAATCACTGGGTTAAATGTTAACAAATCATATAGATTAAGATTTTTCAGTGAAAGGAGGACCCTCAGGATTCAGAGTTTTCTAGTACTCTTAATTGTGTTACATCAGTCATTCTTCGGAAAAACATTTCCCCAGTAATGATTTTACAAGCTTAATTCTCTGTCGGGAATGCTGGTTCCAGATTGTATTAAAGGTTTGATCTCCTGGACTAAAGAGCTGAATTCACAAGTGAGTTGAGAGTGTCTACTTGGACGTCAAGGAGGATTCAACTACAATACCAAGGAGCCGTAATAAAATTAGAGATCACAGTGGAAGCTCTTTACTGGCTGGAGTCTTATCCATCACCGAGGAGGGTGGCTTTCATTGTTGGAGACCACATATTTCAGCTGGAGGGCATTACCGCAGTTGTTCCCTGAGGCCTATCCACTTTCAGCTGCTTTATCTTCCTGTGGAACCAAAGTGGGATGTTTGCTGAAGTTTGAGCAATGTTTTGTTCCTCTTGCAACTCCTTAATTAATGAAGGATTTATTGCCCACAGCATTTGTGTTTGTGCTGATAGTTGGCAAATAGTATTTGTGTGAAACAGCTATCATGTCATGGCCATCTCTAATAAGACAATCCGTTATTTCCCCTTCAGTAGAACCACCATTGTTGAATCCCCACCATCAAATCCTGGAAGCCACTAGTATGTAGATACTTAATGACCATCCACACACTTAGATGGCTTCAATAGCAGATCAAAGGGTGAGAATTCTGTGCCAGATGATTCACCACTTGACTTCCCAAAGCTGTCCACTACCAATGTGGCACAAGTCCGTGGTGTGTCTGAACACTTGCATAATGTCTGGATGAGTACAGCTCCAGCAACTATCAAGAAGCCCTGCATCATCCAGGGAGAGAAATAACATGTTTGATCATTCATCTTAAACATTCATTCCCACCATCATCTGTGTGTTGTAATGGCATAGCATGCCTCTTACAAGATGCACTGCAGGAATTCCCCAAGGTTTCCTCTGCAGTATCTTCCAAGTATGTAGCTGCTATCACCCAGAAAGTCAGAGGTAGCAGGTGCAAAGGCACACTGCTTTGAGGTTTCCCTGTAAAGTGCACACCATACTGACTTGAAAATGTATTGCTGTTCCTTCAACATGAGATCCAAATCTTGAAAATACCTAATGGTACTTTGGGAGTACCTCCACTATGTGGGCAAGATGTTTAAGAAGGGGCATCACCACTACTTTCTTAAGGGTAGTTGGAGATCATCAGTAATGCTATTCCTGCCAGTGATGTCCACATCCAGTGAAAGAATTTTTAAAAAGTTAATGTTTCTTATATTCATTATTCATACTTCCTGTCATGTTATGGATGTTCATATATTGATTGTCAAGGGAATGCATAAGGGAAAGTGTTGCATGATATACCAAGTAGTGTGAGGTTGTCAACCTTTTGTAACTTCATGTATGTTACCAGAATGTATCTTGGATGCAAGAGGACAACAGACCACAGCGGTGCAATTGTTTCACCCGTTACCAATATTTCCACTAATTGTTTATATTTCAATTATTGATATTTTATTTTAAGACAACATTTTTAAGATAATTTCTGTTGTGTTGAATGTGGTTTTCACTGTTCATCTTGCTTAGAAATTCACATGAAATGGTATTTGATCCCTCATCAAGTGACATAACCATGGGTTTTTTTTTGGTTGGGTGTATTCAAGTATTCACTTTTTTTTGTTCTCAAATCAACAGTGCTCTTTTGTATTTCGTGAGCAATTTGAGACGTAAGACCAACGCCTTCCAAGTAATTAATGAGGTTATGCACCCTAACATCCATGACATGACAAGTTAATTTACCTTCTTCCAAGGTCTAATTTGAGACTACATGATCAGAAATTTACTTCCTGCATCGGATCACAAATTTTTTGAGATTGGAGTGGCTCTAAGAACAGGCTGACGCATTCTTGAGATATGAAGCCTATTGGGGAATAAAAAGGGGCTGTTTGCCAAGTGGAGCATGCTTCAGTGAGGGAACATGTATGGAACATAAATCATGACATTAGGTTTCGAATAATTATGGAATAGGGCAAGTAATGATCAAGCAAGGCGTGAAGATATTTAACTGGAGAAGAGCTTAGTTTGTTGAGTTAAAAGGGATCTGGTCCTGGTAAATGGAATCCAAAATTGCTGGCAAAGCTTTAATGAAGTAAAGCATTAATGGAGTACCTTCAAAGATGAGATGCTTCATTTACAAAGTTTGCTTCATTCCACTGTGGGAGACTGAAGGGCCCTCCAAGTAGCCTGAATGACTAAAGATATAAATATTAACACTAAGCAGGAAAAGGAAGCTTGCCTTAGACATTAGGTAATTAACAGTACCAAGCTGAACACAGAATACAGAGAAGGTTTTTAAAAATTGAGGGGCAAAAAGACATTATGAGAATAGATTAGTGGCTAACATAAAAGGAAACACCAGTGTTTTATAACATAAGAAAATATATTAAAATAAGAGCCTGACTGGTTAGGAACCAAAAAGGAGATATTCTTGTGACTACAGTGCCTGGCTAAGGTAATAGATGAGTATTTTGCACCTGTCTTCACCAGATAGGAAGATGCTACCAGTATTCTTAGTAAAAATAAAGGCAGAACTGATATTGGGTGGGATAAAAATAGATGAAGCCAAGGTACTTAATTTGGCAGACGCAAAGTAGAAAAGTCACTCATTCCAGATGTGATGCGTTGTAGGTTGCTAAGGGAAGTAGGGATGGCAATTGAGAGAATGCAACTTGGGCTTCCTTAGATGTCAATGTGGTTTCAGAGGATAATGGGATAACTTATGTTACATTCCTCTTTGGGTAAAGTGCGAGGGATAAACCCAGCAATTACAAATCAATGATGGAAGCTCTTAAGAACTTTTATCCAGGACAAAACTAATTGGCACATATAAAATGTATAGACTAATAAATGAATCTCAGATTGGATTTCTTCATGGCAAGAAAGGTAGATTGTATTTGCCTAAATTGATTGAATTTTTGAAGTAATGGAAAAGGATAGGTTTTTATTGTATTTGATTTTTGTATTTATGTCAGAAGGTATTTGGACAAAGTCAAACAAAATTAAAACTATGATGGTTAATGACACTATAGCAGCATCAATGTGAAATTTTCTAAGGAGCAGAAAATAGATACCTCTGGTTGGATGGTTACCTCTGGGACTGGAGTAAATAATATGCTGTTGTTTCCCTGTGGGGTGCAGTATTTTTTAAAAATATACATTAATGATCTGAAATTGTGTATACAGGGCATGACTTCAGAGTTGTAGATGATGTTCAGCTTGTAGCAGTAAAGACTATGGTAACAGACTGCATGAATAAGGAAAAAAGACTAGTGAAATGGGTAAACACTTAACATGAAGCTTCAATGTAGAAAACTGTGAAGTGACATGTATTGGTGGAAAGATTGAGGAGAGACAGTATGGACTAAATGATATAGTGCACCTCTAAAATGGAGATGTGGGGATGCAAGACCAAAGAGACCGTGGATATTTGTGCACACATCTTTGAAGGTGGCAGATAAGTTGAGACGACTGTTCAGAAAAGTATTTTTTAAAGATCCCAAAGCATTGAAGTTACATTAAATCTTGAAAAAAACACTGGTTATGCTTCACTTGGAGTGTTATATTCAATTCTGAACATCAGACTTGAGAAAAAAATGTCAAATCTTTTGCAAAGATGAGATTGTGCCAAGGATAAGGTACTGCTAAGGGGAGAGACAGGAGAAGCGTCCCTTTTGCTTGCAGAAGAGCTGATTTATAAGAGAGTTGTTAGAAGTGTTCAGTATCATAAAGGGTTTTGCTAGAATAGATAAGGAGGAACAAGTTTTCACTGGTGGAGGACGCAGATTTAAGGCAGTTAGGAAAATGACCAGAGGTAACGTTTTTCATTATTAATTCACTCATGCATTTAAGTTTGTTCTCGGATTTCGTTATTGATGTGTACAATGTTTGGAATGAATTCAAGCTGGAACTGCAGTCTTTCTTGGGTGATTACTCATATAAAAACTGTTTCCCCTGGTATTCCAAATGGGCATACCTTGATCATAACGTGGATTGTTTTCATATCTATTTTTCAAGCAGCACAGTTAGGTGCATCTTTAGATTCCTTTACTCAACACAAGTCTTTTCTAGAGCTCAGTGACCACAGCAATGCTGTCAGACTAGAATCTTCCAAGTTAACTATTTCTCAAATGTTTTGAAGTATTATTTTGTAATTCCTCATTCTCAAATACTTGACCTTCATTTGCCTTCCTCCATTTTTCAGTTTGCAGCTTTTAAAACCTAACTCTTTACCTGCATGCTGCTTATTCTTGATTTCTACTCTTTCAAGCCGATAGGGTCCTGTATTGTGGACTTTAATCCTAGAAACGCAACAAATTTGTTTCCCCATTGCTTTTATATTCAAGAAATTTCACATGAATGTCAGTTACCTGTCTGGATATTAAGATAATGCTTTGATACGAAAGATGGTATGTCACTAATTTGAGATGCAATTTGAAATGGTTTGCCTTAACAACCCTCTAGAGAGGAGAATGGATAGGATCTTGGCAGAAGGGCATGAAAGAAGTGGGCAGTTTCAAGAACAACTGTCTCAACAGCTCTCTCAAAATTTGGCAAATTCTATCAGTAATCGTATAGAGAAGACTGTTCGGGATGAGATGAAGAAAACTTTACCACAATGTGAGTGAGGACTTGGAGAAACATTGCTGATTATTGAAGCATTAAAATTGTCCACTGGGAAAAAAATTTTGCACAATATCAATGTGTTTCAATTCTGCACTTTATTTGTGTGAAGCATTAAATGACCAACAAAAAAGTCAACACTCAAAATTCAATTTAAAAAAGGTTCTTGTGACTGTTGCTCTAGTGTAAGCGTAGGTTAAATGGGCCCAGTCGGCAATTTATGAAATGTATTTTGTGCAGAAATCTGCTGAAAATTTTTGTATTCGTTCATGGGATGTGCGATTGTTGAATAGTCCAGCATTAATTGCGAAAATTTATGACAGAAATCCATTTTATATGGATGTATTCACCTGTAACAATAGTTTGATGTTGGAAACTCAGAATCCTCAGTTGAAAAGTGTCAATATTACAGAGGAGGAGGTGCTGGATGTCTTAAAATGCATAAATGTGGATAAATCCCTCAGACCCGATCAGGGGTACCCTAGAACTCTGTGGGAAGTCAGGGAAATAATTTTGGAGCCCTTTTTGAGATATTTGTATCATCAATAGCCATAGGTGAGGTGCCAGAAGACTGGAGGTTGGCTAACATGGTGCCACTATTTCAGAAGGATGGTAAGGAAAAGCCAGGAAACTATAGACGGGTGACCATGACATCAGTGGTGGGCAAGTTGTTGGAAGGAATCCTGAGGAACAGGATTTACATGTATTTGGAAAGGCAAGGATTGATTAGGCATAGTCAACACGGCTTTGTGTGTGGGAAATCATGTCTCACTAACTTGATTGAGTTTTTTGAAGAGGATTGATGAGGGCAGAGTGGTGGACATGATGAATGTGGAATTCATTAAGGCATTCAACAAGGTTCCTCATGACAGACTTACGGGGAGAATTAGCCATTTGGATATAGAACTGGCTTGATGGTGGTGGAGAGTTGCTTTCCAGTGTGCCGCAAAGACCAGTGCTGAGTCCACTGCCTTTTGTCATTTATATAAATGATTTGGATGTGAACATAGGAGGGATGGTTACTAAGTTTTCAGATGACACCAAAATTGGAGGTATAGTGTCGGCAAGAGGTTACCTCGGAGTACAGAAGTATCAGATGGACAGGTGTTGCATTTTGGAATGGCAAGTCAGGGCAGAACTTAGGCACTTAATGGTGAGGTCTTGGGGTGTGTTGCTGAACAAAGAGACGTTGGAGTGCAGGTTCATAGTTCCTTGAAAGTAGAGTCCCAGGTTGACAGGATAGTGAAGAAGGCATTTTGGAGAGGCTGAATAGGCTGTGGCTATTTTCCCTGGAGCATCGGAGGCTGAGGGCTGACCTTACAGAGGTTTATAAAATCATAAGCGGTGTGCATAGGGTAAAATGACCATGTCTTTTGGTGGGGGAGTCCAAAACTAGAGAGCATAGGTTTAAGGCGAGCAGGGAAAGATTTAAAAAGGACCTAAGGGGCCAGCTTTCTCATGCAGATGGTGGTGTGTCTATGGAATGAGCTGCTAGAGGAACTTGTGGAGGCTGGTACAATTACTATATTTAAAATCTTTTGAGTGGGTATATAAATAGGAAGGGTTTAGAGTGATATGGGCCAAATGCTGGCAAGTGGGACTAGATTTATTTAGGATACCTGGTTGGCATGGACAAGTTGAACTGAAGGGCCTGTTTCCCTGCTGTACAGCTCTATGACTCTATTTTATCAGGAGGCAACAGAACAAGTCATATTTTAAATCACTATACGCAATTCAATATCAGCTGTTCAGCTGTGTCAGTAAATAAGCAGCTCAGTTGTTATATACTTCATTTGGAGTTTCAAGATCACTGCAAGGAGTTCAGATCAAAGGTTTTAAAAGTCTTTAGACACTTAATATTTTTTGTTTTGTTTTCTAGTCATAGTGTGTTACATGAAGAGGGTATAATGTTAATTGTAATGGGTTTCTCCCTCAAATGCTCTGTTCATATTAATGACATTGACCAGTACTTTTCTATAGAAATGTCTGAGGACTGACATTCTTGATCAAATATCCACTATACATTAAAACAGATTTGGTGAGAAAGTAACTGTAACATCGGCAACAGTTTTTGAGATCTTGGATAGGATTGACACTGCCTCAAGTTGCTTTTTGACACATTTCATGGAGAAAAATTTGGCATTCATCCTTCATCGAATAATTTACAGAATTTAATGACAACATTGTTAAACACATTCTGAAACTGACTTTTTTGTGAACAATTGTACAAGCAATCAATGTCAGCAAATTTATTACGGGCTGTTCCTCTAGTGTAAGTGGAGAATAATCATATCCTGTTAGCAATTTGTGAAGGATATTTTAGTGGGAATCTACTTCTGCCAAAAATTGGCGCCCACATGTTCAAAATACTTGAAAGTAGAGAACATAGAATTATACAGCAAAGGAATGCGCCCTTCAGCCCATGATGTTGTGCTGAACATGACGCCAAATGAAACCAATCCCTTCTGCCTGTCCTTGGTCCAAATCCCTCCATTTCTTGCATATTCATGTCTTTATCTAAAAGTTCCTTGAATGCCCTTACCGTATCTGCCTCCAGTACCACCCTGGCAGTGCGTTCCAGACTCCTACCACTCTGGTTTTTAAAAAAACTTGCCCCTCATGTCTCCCTTGAATTTTGAGCTTACTTTGAACTAGTTTAACTATTTAAAGATACGCAATTGGATGCAACTTGAGGCTAATTTATTTTTTTAGCTGGTGCCTAAGCATCCCACCTTTTGACACACATGCAAATTTGTATTCATGTTTTTTTTGAAAAGTAACTCCTTTGTTTCTCATTGAGTGGACCACCCTGTTATTTGCAGGAACATGCATATGTGATCATCAGGCATTTGAGTACATTAAGTAACAACAGAATCAGAAATTACGTTATTGTGACAAATATCAGTTCACATACCTGATTGCTGAATTAGAAGACTTCCTTGATGAAATTAGTCTCACATTCTGGAATGGCTTGCCTACCACTGTTTGCCACATAAACCGGAGTGAGGTATATGGCTCAATTTACTACATGTATCCAGTTATGAAACGCTCAATTCATTGTATATTACAGGAAGATCGCCAGTGTTTCTTGTGTTAAGGTTTTGCCGTTTAATGTTTGAGGGTGGTTTTGCAGCGTTGGCCACAATGAAACAAAAGCTTCATATTTCTGACTGCACCCCAATGTTGTGAGAGGATAGGGAGAAAGAAGAACGGGATCTGGATAGGGAATTGCACTCTTTATTTACAAATCCACTGAAATTTAAGTGAGGGTTTCCTCTATTGGAAACATAGAACTGTGGGCTTATCATGTCTTATTAATCATGAAATATTGTTGGTGGAAGTCTGTGTTTCTGAATGGAAAAGGTTTTGTAATGCACATTGGAATAATTATTAACATAAGATTCTTCAACCTCCTTTGAAAGGTATTTCCAAAAGTTTGGAACCAGTGCCGGGTCAGTTGAATAACCATATTGCAACCAAGCTTGCGGCAATTGAAGGAATATTAAAAGAGAATATAACAAAAATGGTGAAATCAAAGGTAAAGTTTTTGAACTTCAAAATGTTCTTAAACACAACACATTGTGTAAAAAAATTAAATTGATAATCTGAGTGTTTGTAGTATTTGTACAATCTGTTTACATGTTTCACCTGTTGATCTCATTTCTTGCATTATCCCCAGTTACATTTACTTCCCTCATTTTCTTCATGATCCCTGCTCCAGTGGCCAGTTCCTTCCCGCATATAGGTTTATCAAGTCATTGACTTCTCCATGGCTATTGTCAATGCCAACGTGAACCTAACGTGAATAACCTGAAGTAGGGATCTATTTTTATAAAATACTGAGTGTGCTGGAAATCTGAAGTAAAGACAGCGCTCAGAAGCTCAGGTCTGTCAGCATCTGTGGAGAAAGAAATAGAGTTAACGTTTTGAGTCTGGCATGACTGGCAATGGCTTGTTGGTCTAGAGGTATGATTCTTGCTTTAAGGATTGTAGATCGCAGGCGTGCAAGAGGTCCCGGGTTCAATTCCAGGACGAGCCCTGATTGCAGGTTTTCGGTTTATAGGCGACACGGTGGCTCACTGGTTAGCACTGCTGCCTTACAGCGCCAGGGACCCTGGTTCAATTCCACCCTCGGGCGACTGTCTATGTGGAATTTGCACATTCTCCCCCTGTCTGCGTGGGTTTCCTCCTGGTGCTCTGATTTCCTCCCACAGTTCAAAGATGTGCAGGCTAGATGGATTGGCCATGCTAAATTGCCCATAGTGTTAAGGGATGTGTAGATTAGGTGGCTCATAGGGGGATGTGTCTAGGTAGAATGCTCCGAGGGTCATTTTTGAGTGGTCATTTTTCATTGATACAGCCCTATGATCCATTTCAGGAGCTGCCAATGTCCCCTGCTGAATTCGTATCTTACATAATGTTTGAATCCATGTTTATTGTTGACTGTGTTTTTGATTCTATGTTGTCTTGTTGTTCTATTTGCAGAGCAATTTTGGTTGAATTGGACAATTGATGTCCTTTATAAGATTGCTCTTAAAACTGAGCAATTAATTTGACTTTAATAATGTGAAGTCTGAATTTGAATGTTGCATTGAGACATTTGTATTCATATTGCAGGTATAAGATCTTTATAAATGCAAAGCTGTGTCCTCACTTTATTATTAAACTTCTGAATTGCTCCTCCATTTAACCACTGAGCTTAAAGCTATAAATAGTATTCCTGTTGACAGGTAATATTTGTCACCAATCCAAAACTTGAAGACTGTAGATGTTGTAAAGTTCAGTTTCAGTTCCTTATTGGGTTCATGCTGTATCTATTTCTATTTCTTCTAAGTTTCATTATTTGCATCATTCCCTGAGTGAAGCCCAGCTCTTCATCTCTTATTGGGTGTTTCTAACTGGTCTAATTTCTTCTCCCGGGTACAGAGGAATGGATGAAGTATAGTTGTGTTTGAGGAAGGAGGTGATTGTTATGTGGGTTGTCAAAGAGTATGGTGGGCAAAGTATTCATCCTCTGATTTTGCTTTGTGTGGACTGGATTAACAGCCACATCTTGAATTGCTAAAATGGCATTTTGGAACCCTGGAACGCTAGTAATGTTGAATATTTGAGAATTTATTACTTCTTGAACATGGTGTGTGAGTAATTGTTTCTGCCACTTGAGACTAGCAAACCTAATGAATTAACTTGTTTCTTTTTGTCATTATGTGCAGAACACTGCAGAGAGTATTGGAAGAGCTGCAGCGGATGCTTTGCAAGGGCCGATACAATCAAGTTACAGAGAGTCATTCCAGAGTATAGTTGTACCTGTGTTTGAAAAAGCCTGCCAGTCAATGTTTCAGCAAATAAATGACAGCTTCAAGCAGGGGACACAAGAATGTAGGTGTTGTTTTGATTATTACAGTCAGTGCTTTCCCTATATTTTAAAAGTTTAATTTCTTTAAATGGTTTTTCTATATTTAAATAGGTTAAAGTACTAGGTGGTGTAGTTTGAGTCACGCTGGTTCAACTATGGCATTGACTGTATAAGCTGATTTTTGTCAAGGTGGTATTTGGGAGAGCTGTGTGGAACTTGCAGTTGGTTCAACTTTGTAGCTGAGGACAAGGAAGTCCTAGAATTGTACAGCAAGGAAACAGACCCTTTTGGTCCAACTCATCCATGTCAACCAGATATCCTAAATCTAGTCCTATTTGCCCACATTTGGCCCATATACCTCTGAACACTTCCTTTTCATATACCTGTTCAGATGCCTTTTAAATATTGTAATTATACCAGCCTCCACCACTACTTCTGGCAGCTCATTCCATACATGTGCCGTCCTCTCTATGAAAATGTTACCTCTTACGTCTCTTTTAAATCTTTCCTCTCTCACCATAAACCTATGCCTGCTCGTTTTGGACTCCCTTACCCTGGGGAAAAGATCTTGACTATTCACCCTGTCCATGCCACTCATGATTTTATAAACCTCTATAAGGTCACCCCTCAACCTCTGATGCTCCAGCCAAAATAGCCCCAGCCTACTCAGTGTCTCCCTATAGCTCAAACTCTCCAACCCTGGCAACACCCTTGTAAATATTTTCTGCACCCTTTAAGTTTCACAACATTTTTCCTATGACAGGGAGACCAGAATTGAACGCAGTGTACCAAAAGTGGCCTAACCAATGTACTGTACAGCTGCAACATGACCTCCCAACTCTCATACTCAATGCACTGACCAATAAAAGCAAGCATACCAAATGCCGCCTTCACTACCCTGTCCACCTGTAACTCCACTTTAAATGAACTATGAACCTGCACCCCAAGGTCTGTTTGTTCTGCAAACGGGACCCTACCATTAAGTATATCAGTGCTGCCCTGGTTTGCCTTACCAAAATGCTACACCTCATATTTTATCAAATTAAACTCCATCTTCCACTCCTTGATCCATTGACCCACCTGATCAAGGTCCCGTTGTACTCAGATAATCTTCTGCGTGGTGTTGTGGGAGAGAAGGCCAATCAGAATTTTTGATCCTGGCTGCTGTCCAATGGACTGCGCATGTGTCTAGGCTTGCTTGCAATTAATTTCCTGCTCAAAAACCACCACTCCACATAGTCCTGTATCTTTGTACAGATGTTTGTCTGTGCATGAAAATGTGCCTTGCACATGAAAGGCGCATGAATTTCTTTGGGGAAGAAATCACAAAAGATTAAAAGAAAAATGTAAGTATTTTTGCAGAAACTTTTGTATGAAAGCCGAAAGTTGTAAATTTCAGCCCCCTTAGTGATGGGCCGTGTTTTGTGATTTCTTCACTGTTGACTATTTTTGCTTGGAGTGCATTGGTTGAGGTCTGTGCTTTAGTAAAAGACTAACATATGTTTTTCACTGTGCACATATCTTGTAGAGTAAGCATGAATTATGCCATTCAGTGAACAACTCTAAAGGAAGTTTTACACAACAGCATTGGAAATTGTATTATGTTTTATGTGTTCTCAATTTTAACTTGCAGCAAGATTCACATGCAATGACTGTCGAGTTCACTGTTCTAATGACAGTTATTGTGTATGTTTTAGGTTATTATCCAACTCTATTCGTTCAACTTACATTTAATTCAAATATAAATCTGTTGATGTTTTGCATTTCACCCACACAGATATCCAGCAACTTGAGATTCACCTTCAGTCCAAGAAGACCCAAGAACAAGAAATACGTGATCCTCTGCTTAGTCAGTTGCAGCAAATGATTGATCGTTTCCAGAGTGTCACTGATCATCTTGCTGTGACCATCACAAATGGCATGCGTTCAGAGGTTCAACATCAGCTTCACGTCATTGTCAGCAAGTGAGTAGCAAAATGCTGACTGTATGACATTTGTTTGTTGGTGTTATATTATGATATTAACAATACAAACTTGAATACCTGGAATTGCAGAGCGGTCTCACTGTGCATTCAGCCTGTTGATTCCAATCCACAAGAGCTATCTGCTCATACTACTTCTGCATCCTTTAACTGTGGCTCTGTAAATCGTATATTTTTGAGCGATTATCTAATTCCTTCTTGAAAACCACAATTAAATCTGCCTCCCCACCCTTTCAGGTAATACTCCAGATTCTAACTGAAGGAATGTTTTATCATGTCATCTTTGGTTCTTTTGCTAATCGCTTTAAACCTGTTTCCTCTGGCATACATGGATCAATGTACTGCCTTTATAACTTGGACTGAGGCTTAATTAGGTGAAGCAAAATGAGAAGTAGTTGATCTTTGTTGCACAATGTTTTGTGAAGTTAGGTTTGGTAATGCCAATCAAGTTGCTGGGGCTCTGACAAGTGTAGAAAAAAGATTTTTACTGCTGCAGGAGGGAGTGTTTTGAGATTGGAGGTATGATATTTCTGTGCAGAGCAGAGGAAAGTTTTGAATTGTAACTCGCTCTGGAAACCTGACCAGACGGAAGAGGACAGATTTTAAACTTGAAATAGATTGTCCACTGCGAGAAAAGTCACATTGAGTAACTTGAGTTTTCCTCAAATCTGTTTACATACACACATTAGCTCCAAATCTGGACCTTGGACCTGAGCCCATCACACTTTCAACTCTTGCTCTTAATTTTTATTTCTTTTCTTGTTTTTTTTCTTCCAAGATGCCTCTCTTCCATCATTTACCAACTTTTAGGTATCCACTTTCAGGTAATCTGACCATCCAATTCCCTACTCTGGCTGTTCAGTATTCCTGGTCCTGCTGCTGTCCACCACCTTCTCCAGTCAATCTAGTGTTCTTCTGTGTCCCTCTCAGCATCCTCAGAAGAGTTCTTTGAAGTATTTGCTATGGCTCATTACAAACAACAAGCCCAGTCCCACTTTCATGTTTACCTTCTCAGTTCTTCAGATGAGGGCTCACCTTGTTAATCTCCTTTCTGTCCAACTCATCCCTTATATTGCTTAGTCTTTCACTGCCTGTCTGCACATTTTCCCCCAGAATGTCTTTTCACTTATGAACCTAGGTCCTTATGATGCAAGAATTTATTGTGGATGATTGCATTGACTGCAGCTTGACATTTTTATCTTGGCCTTCTCCCTGGATATTATCTTCCTCTACTTGCTCCATCATGTGGCAGTTTGACAATTAACTCCAGTTTGCAGTTTGACCTGACCCCCTACTCCCCTGACACTTTTTGCTTATTTGAGCACCTCACTGTGTGATTCTCATCTTTCATTCAAAATCAACATTTTCTAACATCCTCCCAAGCGTGGTTTAAACAAAAATCTTCCTACCTAATTATCTTCATTGCTTTCCTCCCTCAACTTCTGTCCTAATCAACTTCTCATCCTTAGTGATTTTAATTTTATTGTCGACTCATCATGTTCTTTCTCCTCTGGGTTCACTGCCTGTTATCCTTCCTAAAATTCTCCCTGCATGCAATCTCCTAAACTCATATTCATAGTCACTCATTTGCCCATGTCTCAATGTCTTGCTGGTTCCAGTGTACCAGTCATTCCTTATCACTGCTTCTATAAATCCCCACCTACAACCCTATCTTATCCAATCTCTGTATATGCCCAGAAAAAGACAGTACTCCAGTTCACATACAACTGCACTGTCAAAATCCCAACTGTCTGCCTTTGACCATCCTTTTTGTACAGCGTTTGTGCATCTAATGAATTGTTCAACTGCACTTTCACCTCAACCTTTGCCCTTGTCATCAACAAAGTAATTTGCATGCATTCTAGCTTTTCCCGACCCAGTCCCTCATTTCTATTCCTTTCTGACCTAAGGGGAGCAAGCTTGAAATAGTGGACGTGGTTTAGGCATTCAACATATAAAGTCACTCTTGATTTCTGCTCCCTGATAAAACTGCTCACCATTCCAGGGTCATCCTGGAAGGGAAAGATACCTCTAGTTGCTTCTCGCTACTGCAATTTGCTAACTGAAACTCCTCTCCATTGCCACCTTCCCTCTCCTGTTCCACCAATATACCATGACCTCTTTGCCACTAAGACCGAGACTTGATCAGCTGACTTTGCTGTGTGCCTCTTTTTTACCAGCTCGGTGGGACAAACTTCCTGTGAAATATCCTGCTATTCTGGCCCAGTTCTTGCATAGTCATTTATACATAGGATGTGGCCATTCACCCCATCAAGTTCATGCCAGCTGTTCATGGCAGAATCAAATTAATCCTGTAGCCTTAAATTTATTTCCTCTTTGCCCCATCTAAATTCCTTTTGAAATTATTGATCGTTTCCATTTCCACCATCTTCATGGGAAGCAAGTTGTGGATCATTACCACTCACTGCATCTTCTCTCCTGTCTGCTGTCATGCCCTCTCCAAGCCCTTCTGTCCATGGTATCAACCATTTGTTTCCTTGACCCTGTTTTAATTGAAATGCTGATCGTTGAACTTCTTTCTTTTTACTCCATGTTAGCTAATGGTGCTGTTTCTCGATGTGTTGTCCTTTAATTCTGTTGTTATCACTCCTCAAAAAAAAAACTCACATTACCCTTACAAGCTACCGTCCCGTCTCCAGCTTCCATTTCCTCTACAAAATCCTTGAGTATGATGTTATCTCCGAAATCCAAATATTCTCTTTTCTGGAACGCCTTTGTTTGATTGCTCCAATTCTGTTTTCTGCCCGAACATGGTTCTAAAATGACAGTTAGCAAAACCTATCAGAGATAGTAGGAACTGCAGATGCTGGAAAATCTGAGATAACAAGGTGTAGAGCTGGATGAACGCAGCAGGCCAAGCAGCATCATAAGAGCAGGAAGGCTGACGTTTCGGGCCTAGACCCTTCATCAGAAGGTC